GCCTGATGACTCTTCTGCAGTTTGTAAAGAAAATGTTGTCCTCTTTGCCTTTCAATTGTCAATTATTGAGTCCTTCTCCCTACTTTGATCAGTCTCTCTTCTGCTTTGACGAGAAGGTTTGATTCACGGCCTGCTAGTGTCACCTATTCCCATGTTTTCTACCTCATTTTATTTTAATTTATTATTTTTATGATGACCAGGTGCCTTTATGTCCTTACAGGCATGTGTCATATATATGTTGGCCATAATTTCTCTTTCTTTGTTCTATGTTTGCTTTTCTTCTTCTTATTGTTTATCTTTCCCTTAGAATCCTGTTTATCAAGAACCTCACTATTTTCTTGCCTGTTTAATCTCTACAACTGACTGGCATAGACAGTCAATGGATCATCCTATCAGGTTCATTTCTAGGAGGCATCCAAACATTCTCAAATTTAAGATAAAGCCAGGTAATACCTTTTCCTTGTGTTATATGTTTAAGCAAAGTCGGTGTTGCCTATAACTTCTCAGAAGCAAAGGGTCTTTCCAACTTTTGTCATAATTATATCAGAGTCCTAAATCCGCCATATATGGCTTAATTAAGCACTTGTAATTTAAGCCATGATAATTGATCAGTCTATGGCAATCCTTTTGCTTTCTTTTCCCCCCTCATGACAATTAAAAATCTTAGGTGTATAGTATCAAAATATTAATGGTTCAGCCTTTTCTTTAGGTCCTGAATTCAGTAGCACAGATGGTCGGAGCAAAAAGATTTCACATTTCTTGTTCCATCCCTTTTTGCCTCTTGCTCTCTCCATCCAGCAAACTTTGTTCTTGCCACCATCGGTTGTGAATATTCACTTTCGGAGATAATAATTATTTCTTGTGATGGTCACTCTCCCTTTTTCAAAAGCCTTGAGCTAGTTTGTAGTTAGATGTGTATATCTTGATACTTAGATAGACAGCTGATAGTTCATCCATTATTATAAATGTTATAGCCCAAAATGTATAATGTATGTTTTTCTTATCTTCTCATCTCTAAATTAATGGTAAACACACCTTACAGTAAATGATTAAATGTGCCAATGAGGTTGGATGAGTTGGTAAGGATCGAATGTTTCATTTGCAAGGTCAAGATTTGAATCTCGTTGTCGCAAGTTTCCTTTGATGGATGATCTGTAACTCCAATGTAAATCACCTCTTAAAAATGCAGTCTATCCTGGTCCTGGACTAAGGAAGCTTTCTCTCACTTAAACTGTACCCAAAAAAAAAAAAAAAATTTAATGCATGACAACAATAACATGTCTGTTGGTAGAGTCTAGTGATTAGAGTTGAATTTATCACATGTTATTATTTAAATTAATTATTTTAGAGACACATATTATATTAATTAATAGAGTTATAATTCGTATATACATATATATATATATATATACATTACAGATTTTTAAAAGAAAAAAAAAGCATGACTTTTACTGAGATTTCAGTGTGAAGGTGTAATCAAACCGACCGAAGTCAGTACATTGCAATGCTCGAGCTTGATTTAAAAATAAAAATTTGAAGCTCGATTCAAATGCATTTAAATTTTATTTTTTAAATTCGAGTTTAACTTGATAAAAAATTCGAGTCAAGCTCGAGCTCGATCTGCTCGATTAGAATTATATTAAAAAATTTATAATTTATTTATTTCCCACAAAACAAAAATCAGAATAGCAAAATAAAATCTACAAAATCTTTGGGAATCATTCCAAATATATGAAAAATAAAAGCATAAAAATTCAAAACAATAAAAATCAAATCACATGTCATCCTTTTACATGACCATCCAATCCTAAGATAATATCAATAATTTAACAATTAGATTCAAATACTATAAATTCCCAGAAAAAAAAAACTATAAATACTATAAATACCCAGAAAACAAATCAAAAAAGTTAGGGAAAAAAACAAATATTACAGATGCTGGAAAATATGATTATTCTTATCGGGATTTTGACTTAGCACATGTGATTGATTTATGTCTTCGCTTCTTACAAGTTATCACCAAACCTCTAAGCATAGTTTGTAATAGAAGGGCTTTTCTTGCAAGAGTTGGAATAAAAACATGATAAGGGAGATTTAGAGAAAGCAAAAGAAGAGCGGGGGAGAAAGTGAAAGAAGAAGCATTATTCGAGGAGGGGGAATCAGTTAAGAGGTAGCGCCGTTTTGGAGAGGGGAAATGCTGAGAGTGAAAGAGGAAAAGAATAGATTTTAGGTTTTTAATTTTAAGTTTTTTGTATTTTAAGGGTAAAAATATAATTAAATTAATAAAATATATATTAAAATAAAAAATTTAGAATAAATTCAGCGAGCACTTAATCAAGTATTAAAATATTTAAATTTGATTTACTCGATAAATCAAATTACTCAAATTCGAATTCAATTCAATAATAATTAAATCGAATTTGAATATTTTTTAAACTAAATCTAAATAATTTATGAATATAAATGTACCATTTATATCTCTAAATGTAATTATTTTGGGCCGTGAAGTGCTTCCCTTATAATTGAGTAAACTTTATGCACTTGATTGAATAACGGAGGTAAATACTGAAATTTGATTGATTGGTTGGGTTTTTATCTAAACCTTATCTTTTTCTTACCCCACATGCATATTTAGAAGGTAAATAAATGATGAAGTTTTTATGATTTAAAGTAAATTATTTAGCGAATTTGTTGAATGATGCTTATCTTTAACATTTTATTGGTCAATTTAATTATCTCTATTCTGGTTACATCCAATAATTATCAAAGTTCACAAACAATACGACAATCTTGTTCACATCCAAAACAATCCACAAAATGGGTCAATGGGGTTTAGCCTATAAAATAAGTAATTAAGTCAATTAAAAGAATTACTGCTTCATTAATTAATTAATTAATTAAAGCTCAACTATAATGTATCTAATATTTTTTATGCAATAGAATAAGGAAATTAATTGGGTTGAAATCTAATTAATTAAGTATGAAAAATGGCTTTTCTGATCCCGGATCAAGTAATAAAAACAAGGAGTCCACTTCTTTATGAATTAAATTCAGTCCGTAAGAGTTCAAATAATCCATAAGTATATACAAATCTAACATGAACTAATTTTATTATGTTGATGATTTATTCATTTAATTAATCAATCTTAAAATATTATTTATAATAATTTATTAAATTTAATAAATAAATAAATAAATCAAATATATTCAAGAATTGTTTACCGAACATTTTTTTAATTTATATTTTTACATTATAAATAAATTGAACAATAAACAAATTTTGTTATATTCATGATCTATTTATTTAATTAATGAAGTTCAAAATATTATTCGTGATTATTTATTAAATTTAATAAATAAATATAAACAAACAAAAATTAAATCTTGTCATGAATTATTTGATAAAACATTTTATTTGTTTATACCCATTTAAAAATAAAACCACTCAGCTTTGTTAGAGAAAATATAGCATTTATGTTTCGTGCTTGATGAAATTCAATAAAAAGATAAAAGGCTAAAATCAAGGGGTTGAGGAGAATTAAGTCAAAATGAATATATGACATATTGAAATGCTGTTGAGTGAGATTAATACAGGAGAAATTTCAGCAAATGATGGAAATATTATAACCTTCATTTGAAACACTTATCAGTTTTAGATAGAGAGTATTTTGGTTTAAAGGTAAAAGAATCTAGAGCGGTTAAAGCTGAAATTTAACCGACAGTTACATGGAGTAGAGAGTAGCAGGTGGAGCAATTTTCACCCATTTTATTGAGCACATCAAAAGCATTGAAGTTAATGAGCAGCAGTTAGCTTAAAAACTTTCTAGATTTATATATATATATATTAATACGAATTTCAAAGATGTAAAATGAGTTTTAGAAACCACAATCACTTTAATTTTCAAGCATTTTGATCTTATGATTGTTTATTTTTACCTTTCATGCAAATATAAGTACTTTTAACTCAACAAATTATCAAGTTTGCTTCTGTATTCTCTTTCTTGCTGAAAGTATGAAGCAAGAAAATCTGTGAGAGTACTTAGACAATCGCAAAAGTCTTTTTTAAGAATCAACCAACAATTTCGAGCACTTAAAATTTATAAAACGATTAAACTTTTAATCCAACTTAAGCTGATCTAAATGGGCCATACAAAGCCGGGGTTTTTTTTTTTAATTCTTAAAGATCAGTTTAAATTAAGTTTGATTTAAAGAAAAAAAAAAGAAATTCTTGCTCGTTTTGTATATGCCAATTCTTTCTCCACGGTCCACTCAACCAAAAGAGTCAACAGGAGCCCATGGGTTCGTCAAAGGCCATTTCGTTAGGCATTGGGGATTTACTACTCTTTGTTGAGAATTTATGTACTAATTTTTACTCATTTTCGGAATATTAATTATAGAATAGTTTGAAAAAAAAAAAAAAGAGTGTAGAATCATAGGTGTAATCGAGTCGAGTCGAATCGAATAATGAAAAATTTGAGCTCGACTCATAATTCGAGGTTCGATATTCAATTCGAATTCGATCGAGTTTTATTTTTTAAGTTCGAGCTCGATTCGTGATAGAATTCGAGTTACTCCAGCTCGTTCGATTAAGCTCGATTAATATGTAAAAATAAACTCGATTTGTATACTCGACAAGAGTTTCATTATTTATACTCGAACTAAAATTCGAAATATTTTATTAATTAAAAATAATAAAAATATATTTAAATATAAAAACTTTATTAGACTCGCGAGTTACTCGAATCGAATATAAGAATACTCAAATTCGGTTCGATCGATAAGTCGAACTATTCGAACTCGAGCTCGACTCGATAATAATCGAACCGAATTAAAATTTTTTTCAAATCAAATTCGAATAATTTGTGAATACTAATGTATCATTTACAAACCCAATTAAAAACTTACAAACGCATCATTATTCTTTCTTTATTACGCCATTTAACAAAAAGCAATTGAATTATTATTATTATTATTGTTTTACAAATGGTGGTTGAATAAGATAAAAGAAAAAAAAAAACGGTGGGCTCATATTTCTTCCTTGACAAAATGTGAAATGAGCCCGAAAAGGCTGAGACCTTCACCTTAGGTTTCAATCAACGAATCCACTTATCTCAACCTAACTCATTCCCGGCAGCCAGTCGATCCGCCGCCTCCTTCCTTTTCAGGTGAGTTTCAATTTCATTCCAATTTCGATTTCCGTTTCTTTTAAACCCTTTCGACTCTCCAAATTATTCACAAATTTCAATTAAAAGTAATTTTTTAACTAAAATTTGAAAATCGTGAGCTGATCTGCCAGATTAATCCTACGATTCGCGCGGTGGGGAGGCCTCTCATAGCAATTCGAGGTACCAACATCATCATAATCTCCGGGTCTTCTACTACAGCTGGCGCGAGACTATAAGAAAAAAAACAAAGATTTTGCTTTGTTTGTCTCCATCTGTTTATTTATTCTCCGTGGTTGTGAAATTTGGTGGTTACAATTACGGAGCAGAAGTGCGTGAATGGATATGCAGAAGGGTGGGAGTCTATCGAGAAGTAGCACTAGTCCGTCAGTGAGAGTGTCGTCGTCGCCGCAGTCTCAGCAGTCGTTGAGGCGGCTAAGCTTGTGCTCCCAAATAGCAACCCACTCTTCCCCAATTGTGTTCCCGGAGAAACGTACTAAGATGCTTAAGGCTTCATCCCAACGCGGTGAAGCCCCTGTCACGGCTGATCAGACTCATAAATCCAAGAGGGAAGACCATCGAATCGATATGGGAGGAGGGGATGAAAAATCTGATTTACTTGGTTATGTGGTTTTCTCAGGTAAGCTCATTTGGGATAAGAGAAAGAATGTCCCAACTAATACTAATTCCGCCGATGTAGAGCGGAATTCTTCTACTGATATTGCCAAGCAAGAAGCTGTTGCTGCTAAACTCACTAGTAAAGCGTTGGTTTGGGGTTCGCATGTCTTGCCTCTGGATGATGTCATCTCGGTAAACATTTAATCTTTGAAATAGACCCTTGCAATGAATAAGTATTTGTTTCTGGTTTTTGGATTTTTTTTTTTGCGGTTTGCAATCAGTCTATTCCATTTCTTTATCTTGACAGGTATCCTATAATGTTGGTGTTAGACATTTCACCGTGCATTCTTACCCTTTCAAGAAGGGTTCTTGTGGCCTTTCGTGTTTTATTAAACCGAAGAGAAGTCAAAAGGATTTTCGTTTCTTGGCTTCTAGTGTAGAAGAGGCAGTTCAATGGGTTGGTGGGTTTGCAGATCAGCAATGTTTCATCAATTGTTTGCCTCACCCCTTAGTTTCTTCAAAAAAGCAAGCTTCGTCTGAATTGTTTCCGATGGATGCTCCTCCTGAGCTAGTGTTCAGGTGCAAGAATCCACCGAAAATGCTTGTTATATTGAATCCAAGGTCAGGTCGGGGTCGTTCCAGTAAAGTTTTCCATGGCATTGTTGAACCAATATTTAAGGTATGTACTTTATCTTTTATCTTTACTAATTTGTATAGATTCTAGTTCTAACTGTTCAACATTATTTATGGATTTGATAGATTGGAATAGGTTGTCCATGATCATAATTGCTGTTGTTTCTTTGTAGTTCTCTTCCTCTCCACCATAGTCACCCATAAATGAATAAAATCCTTAGTGTATTTATTCTCTTATGTGAACTTGCATTGATGTTTCTGTATACTATGATTGTGCGTTGTAGGCTCTTATTTCCTGCTCATGGAAGCAAAGCTGCTAGATTTAACTTTCCTTTGGATTCATCTAAATCTTGTAGGTGCTTGGTTCAAATTAATTTTTAAGAACTTAATATTAGTACTTCCACATAACTGCTACAAGCCATGAATATGCCCTGATTTGACTGTTTGGGAATACTTGTATGGGAAAAAGTGTGGTTAGGATAAATTGGATTTTTTTGAAATGAAGGTGCATTAGGATTCTTTGCAACAGTTATAGAAGGTTGAATATATTATTATGACATTCTTATCAAAATGAAAAAACTTGTGAAGATCATGGCAAAACCATGTATCAATGTATAGCCTTTGAGCAAGTCTGGATAAAAATTGAATAAGTTTAGTGGGTTTTTTTTTTGCGTGTTGTTTGCTGCTGAATATCATGGATCCTCTGCATGTTTGGCATTGCATGTGATTGGGTCCTTTAATTCTAAGACACATGTTTGGCAGACATTAATTGTTAGGATTTCCTAATAATTAAGGATAGATATCATTGAAGTAAAATATAGAAAGGCATTAAGCGTCATGTTCTAAATAATGCATAATTTACTGATTTGTTTCTATTAAATGATTGAATAGTACATTTTTTTGGATAGTGATTTTTTGTTTTGTTGTATGCTTTATTTTCTTTTTTCTATAACTTCTTGCTTCTTTCATTTGTTGTAAGATCTCTGCTGTGATATTTTTGTATTATTGTCAAGAAAAAGCTATTTTAGAGTTTGTGCTGTATTGAGTTTCACATTTTATATGCAAACTGTGACAGCTTGCAGGGTTTAAATTGGAGGTAGTCAAAACAACATCTGCTGGCCATGCTAAAAAGCTGGCATCTACTGTTGATATCAGCACTTGCCCTGATGGTAGTAATACTTGACCATTACTTATTCTAGCTTTGCTTATTTCTTTGCTGACTGTCATCATCTTCTCCATTAATATGAATTTAAATCATTCTACTTCCTTTCAGGAATAATATGCGTTGGCGGCGATGGGATTATTAACGAGGTTAGCCATTTCAACTTTAATTAAATTCTCATATTGTTTCCTATTATTAATTTTTCCAGAGAATCTTTCAATCCATGTGTTTTAGTTTTATTTTTTTCTACCCATTTCAACACCATCAGTATTATTGAGCTACATTGACAAGTTAAATTACTCATAAACTTTCGAAGGCAATTGGTATTCTGTTGTGTCGTTGTGTGATTCCTGGATTAATTTTTTTAGGGACTGGCCTTTAATAACCTTCTGTTTGTGATAGGATTGAGACATAATTTTAGGGAAGGATTAATAACTATGTTTCCTATAAGTGCATTATAGTTACCGTTTACTAATTATGCAAGTATACTCATCCAGCTTACTTATTTATGGTATTAAAGATTTTGGAGTCGAAATCAACATGGAATTATATCTAACTTGACATTGTAAAGGAAGAATACTGCACTGTTTTCTATGGTATGCATCTTATAGAATGATTTCTGATATTTAAACATAAATCATCTTTGGTTTTCAAATTAATATGCTTATTGAAGGTCTTGGCTGATATATATACTTGTCCTCTGAATGTAGAGAGGACTGATTCTCAATTGAGGCTGTATCTGTATCCAATGAAGTTTTTCCTGATCCTCAACATGGTACAGAGTTTTATCTATTTTGAGCTTTCATCAGCCAAAATTTGGAAATTGGTTATCTCTTAACAGCACTCAACTTTTGAAATTGTTTGTTGCAATTCTTATCCCTGCAATAGGGATTGGCTACATAGATTCTTTTATGGTTGCTAGGATTGGGCAAAGTCGAATTTTATGTTATGTTATTGTCTATTATATCCTTTTTCATTGCTGTGTCTGATGTCAATTTTAATTTTCCCCTTGGTGTTCTTTTGTTCATGCCATAAATAGTCAACTTTCTATAACATGAAGCACACATAATTTTAATTCATCCTTTGAAGTTTGTTTTTGAACTTGATAGTGCTTTGTGATCATGTAATGCTCTAGAGTGTCTCTCGCATCTCTTTGAATAAGAAACATCTTCCTTGCTCATGCTTTTATAATAGTTACAAGAAATCATCTGGAAACCTTGTACAAATTTGTACTGCCTGCTTGATGTTTCTTTTCCTCCCCTCCACTAAAGTTTTGACCATTTATTTAGTTGAGTCCAACTTATCATACAGGATTCTGATTTTAGTTTATTATCAGCCTCAGATAAGTTCATTGTTAAGCGCATAAACCATCAGATTTTCCATCTTCGTTGTAGGGGACTGGTGTGAGGATTTTATGGTACCGGATAGTGACTCAATTGCTTTGTTGAAAGCATCGTAATAGAATATAAAGCTCCCTTGTTCTGTGGATGGGGTTGTGTTCTCTTAGGTATTCTGTTGGTATTTCTGTTTTATTATTAAGCTAGTTACTTCATGCTGGTAAATTTGTAGGTTCTAAATGGTCTGCTTAGTAGGGACAATCAGAAAGAAGGAATTTCTATACCCATTGGAATTATACCGGCAGGTTCAGATAATTCACTGGTTTGGACAGTTCTTGGAGTTAGAGATCCAGTCTCTGCTGCGATTTCTATTGTAAAGGTAATGCTGCTTAGTAAATTCAAGATGAGATTTGCTTTGCTTGCTGGTTATTCTGTTTCTCCCTTTATGGATTGATTTTCAAAACCATTTTGAAACATGGGTATGAAATTGTTTAACAACACCTTGATGACCCTAACACATTGCTGTGAAAGTTTTGGGAGAAATGTCTTCATGCTGTTGCTTTTCTATTGGTGGAAACTTGCTCTTTTTAATAACTGGCGCAATAAGGAAAAGAGTGTTAAGAATACCACATGTTTCTTGTTGTAGATATATTGAATTCCTACTGGTCTTTTTGTTGCCTACAATTTAGGTTCTCTTGTTGGTTTCAGGGAGGTCTTACTGCTACAGATGTTTTTGCTGTTGAGTGGATTCAGACTGGTGTTATTCACTTTGGGATGACAGTCTCCTATTATGGTTTTGTTAGTGATGGTATGCACTGGTAGCATGATCTATCCTGGCTAATACAGTAGAAGTCTGTTGGTTTCTATATTCAATCAGCATCTGTTCTCTTCTTACAATTATCTTTTTGTTTTTTTCGTTTCTTTGAAATGTGGACTATGTATGCTTTTCTGAAGCTTCAATCTAGCATACCTTGCCATCTCAACGTGTGGTCAAATTAATACTTGCTATGGTAGCTGAATTTCGAGTGTGCGTTACACTTGTTGACTGTGACTGTCCTTTCAGAATGATTTGAGCATTCATCCTCACGTATGTTGCACACATGTGAATAGTCACTTATAAGGGTGACTGGTTTTCCCTTTCACTTGTTTCCCATTTCCCTGAATCAAGAAAAAGTTATCTTCCGTATCCCATCTTTGCTTTCCCATCGTCATAAGTTTGTGTCTATAATTGAAATCACGTGTTAGATTTACTCCTAGACTAGCCATCGATTATCATTTGCATCTTTTGTTTAAATCTTTTGGTTTCAAGTTGCCTATTTAAGTTTGAGCACCTGGTACACCTTTACTATTATCTGTAATCCTGAACTAGAAAAGTTTCATTCTTATTTACTTATGTCAGATGTTTCCATATACAGTGAATTTGCATTCTAGTATCTGTTTAGCTTAGATCTTTTATTATTAACAATTATCATCATGATGATGCTTGATTCTAAGTCTAATTAGTAATAGTTAAATATCAGTTCAATGACCGGTAAAAGATGGTGAATGAAGGTACTAGTTTTCAAATTTTGTATGATATTACTGTATGCTTTTTCATCTCTTAGTTTGGTTAAATCAATAGACTGATCCATGAATGTCAATACTATTAAGGCACATTAGATTCAAAGAAGGCATACATGATTTTCTATGTATAGAGTGATTGAGTGAAATAAAATCTTTTATGAGTGTATGTAGTGATGTGTGCATAAAATAATTTCCCCATCTTTTATTATCTCTTAGCGTGGGAATGGTAATTGTATGCTTGTATCTTTTTCTCATGTTTTGCAGTCTTAGAACTTTCTGAGAAATATCAGAAACGATTTGGTCCTCTACGATATTTTGTTGCTGGGTTCCTCAAGTTTTTGTGTTTGCCAAAGTACAACTATGAAGTGGAGTACCTTCCTGCAGCAAAAGAGGATCGAGAAAGTAAAACCTCGACTGATCGGGAAGTAGTTGACATGTCAGACCTGTACACAGACAATATGAGGAGGTCAAACATAGATGGCATTCCTAGAGCCTCTAGTTTATCTAGTATCGATTCAATAATGACTCCTAGCCGAATGTCTGGAGGTGAGCTGGATACATGTAGTAGCACTCATGCCAGCACTGAACCATCTGAGTATGTGCGAGGCCTTGATCCTAAGACAAAACGGCTGTCGTCTAGCAGAAGCAATGTAACAGCTGAGCCTGAAGTTATTCATCCTCAGTTACCACTGTCAGTGACTCCAAACTGGCCAAGGACCAGATCAAAATCAAGGACAGATAAAGGATGGAGTGGATTGACTGCAGCACATGATCCTTCTAGATGTTCTTGGGGTAATGCTGCAACAAATGATAGAGAGGATATATCTTCGACATTGTCTGATCCAGGTCCAATTTGGGATGCTGAACCAAAGTGGGACACTGAGGCTAATTGGGACGTGGAAAATCCAATCGAGTTACCAGGGCCATCAGGTGATGTTGAGTCAGGACTAAAGAAGGAAGTTGTCCCAATATTTGAAGATAAATGGGTTGTAACGAAGGGGCCATTTCTTGGCATCATTGTGTGCAACCATGCATGCAGAACTGTGCAGAGTTCTCAGGTGGTGGCTCCAAGAGCTGAACATGATGACAACACTGTGGATATGCTCTTAGTTCATGGGAGCGGGCGACTGAGATTGATGAGATTTTTCTTGCTGCTACAGATGGGTAAACACCTTTCACTGCCATATGTTGAATATGTCAAGGTATGAACATCAATTTTCCTTTAGTCCATAAACAATCTCATATTTCAAATATAACAACTTGATTGTTGAGCCCATAAATTCCATCCAAGCTCAAGATTGTTGTACAAATCATCAGTGCAGCTGGATTAGCTGCATGTGATGAAACAATTATTTTGCTGGTTTGAACATGTGTTTTGTAGTTAGTACACTGTTTCTCACATAAGGATAGTTGCCTCATGCTTTCAATTTGTTTTGGAATAGAATGGGTGTTTTGCAGATTTTTATGTTGGATCAGTGAACTGGGTCCTATACGCATAAATATCTACACATGATTTAAACCATATAACTGTAGCTTTGCATTGAAATGCAGGTGAAATCGGTCAAGATTAAGGCTGGGAAACATACGCATAATGGTTGTGGCATTGATGGTGAGTTTTTTCCCCTCAACGGACAAGTAGTATCGTCTTTGCTTCCCGAACAGTGCAGACTAATTGGTCGCTTCCCTGACCGACATTTATAATGACCAAGAGATCTGTTTTTTTTTTTTGAAAATTTCTTTGTCATATCTTGGATGCGAATGCTCTCTTCTGTTCTCGTGGCTTGGGAATATGCAGAGTATCCTTACACAAAACTAATATATCTTCTGATATATATTTTCATGTTAACCCCCTTCCCGTTTGTGCCATTACATACAATGAGAGTTCCTGTAAATTTTTTCTTGGGTTTATGTATCTGTTACTTGTTTATTTACATTTTTTACTCCTCTGTGATATATACGCTTTTCTCTTGTTTGTTTCTGTGCAAACTTCTAAATATATTGAAAGTTTATCTTTCTATTTTTCCTTTTTTTAACCATTTAGATTTCTTTACATGATCATCTTCAGAACTCTTCTTAGATATTTACAAAGGATTAATTTCTCTCAATGTTATTTTTAGTCCATGTACTTTCCTAGATTTTTTAACGTGATACGTTTTCTTTTAAAATGTGCAATGTGTTGTTTGTATTGTGATCCTTTCATCAATATGGTACTCCAAGATTAACACTGTTAATTTAGAAATATATGTGGTTGACATTCAGTAACACCAGGACACGTGGCTTATTTTGTCTTCTCATTTTATGAGTGGCATATTTGGCCTCAAAAGTCTGTCAAAGAGGAGAGATAGTGAAAGAATAGAAAGGAAAAAGAAAAATGGAAACGTAGTATTTTTTTTTTTTCAATGACACTTTAATTTCATGTCGGTGCTATGTGTGTATTTTAAAGGACTATGTTCTTGAATGATAACTAGGTAAAATGTCACATTTCATATTATTTATTTTATTTAATAACATTATGTTATATTTGATGCATAAAATTATTAATAAGATAAATTGATAATTATTTTATATCATGTTTGATTTATATTTATAAAATTTATATCTATAAAAAGAGGATAGCAATTGCAAAAAAGATTAATACTTTCTTAGCATAAGATTATTCGATTTTTTTAAGTAGAAAAGATTATTTTTAATTATGAGATTAAATTTATATATTTAATTATATTTTTAAAATTTTATTAATAATTTAAATTATATAAATTTTTAAGAAGAATAATTTGGATAAATAAATAAATTATTTAATTTTAAATTTTTATATATCAATATAAAATAAAATGATATTATTTAATTTAATATTATTTATAATATTATTTTATTTTATTTTATTATAATTTTATGTATCAAATATAATCTTAATTTTAATATTATATTAATACTGGATAAATTATATAAAATTTTTCTGTAATTTGATATGAATTGAAAGTGATTATTAAAGTTTAAAAGTTGATACTTAATTATTTTATAATTTATTTTATTTTATTTTTTCAAAAATTCTCGTAGACTCCACCAATCTCGTCCATTTCATTGTTTGTGAATCACTCATCGTTCACTATGCTGCCAATCAATCTCTTTCTTTCTTTTCTTTTTTTTGTCTTCATTTTAAAAATTCAAAAATTATCAAAAAAATTCAAATCAAAATCATAAAAAAAAAAAAAATCTCTTGCCGATGAATTGTTGTGACTATTATGTTGATTTGTGGGTTCATTGGGTGTAGATAATTCAAGGTGGATTTGGATTTTTCTGGTGGCTTTTGGGTTTGTTTTTAAGTTTCTTTTGAGCTATTTGCTCTGTTGATGGTTTTCTTTAAAAATTAGTTATTTGTTTGATACTTATATAATTTTTAATAGCAAAAATTTCGTTCTTAAAAAAATACAAAACCTAAAATTTGTATACAAGCAAATAAGCAAGTCTCAACCAAAAAACGAAAAAATTGAAAGTTTCAACCAATAACAATCAACACAGGCAAAGAATACTATTAGTATGAACGTGTAAGAGCAAAATTAAAAATTTTGAGTATTGGTTTGATATTATTTTTTTAGGTTTGTGAAAAAGAATTTTTCGGTGATTTTGGATTTGATTGTCTTCAAGGGTTTCTTTTCGAACTAAAGAAAAAGAGATGTTACTGATGAAGAAGGTGCTGCAGCGCAATAGGTTCTCTGACTTTGGCATGGTGGTCATTAGTGATGAAGGACGACAACGACAACCAATGGTGGTAGCACAGTAGACAATGAAAGCAAGTTCATTGGAATTTAGGATCTCATTTTTTTCAATTCTAGAAAGAAACAGAGAACTTAATTTGGAGAGAAAGAGCTTTTGCAAAAAAAAAAAAAAAATTGCAGCATTGATAAGTTTTATTGAAGATGACTTTTATAGAGGCAAATAATTCATCTGATTTTAAAGAGAGAAAAAATTAAAAATAAAAAATAAAAAAAATTAATAATTTTGGATAAAAATATAATAAAACAAATCATAAGGTAAGAAGAAGGAAGGCGATGGCAGAGCAATTGAAATCATTCATCCTTTTCCTAACGAAAGTTCGATTAAAAGATGGTGCATGTATGGGATGACTTTTGTTTCAAAGGGCAAACGAGCTCAGATTATTTTGGGTTTAGACCTTATGTTAGGTTCAAGCAATTTTAGATTTTATTTAGTGTTTTATATAAGATGTAATTTTATATTCTTAGTAATATAATTTTGAAATTTTTAGTATATAAAAAGTTACATATTAAAAATTAAAAAAAAATTATAAATGTTAAAGTTTAAATTTTACATCTATTAAATATTATTTTTAAAGATAATTATATAAATTAGTTGCTTTAAATTCTGTTTATATCTGATTTTTTTTTTTTTTTTTTTGCTAATTGGGTGGATTCAAGTTTAAGATTTATAGAGTGTGTTTTCAGAGCCAGTTGTTTTGCTGCCTCGACTAGAAATATGGTGGTGTTAGCTAGGTTGGAACCAGACGAAAGGATTGAACCAAATTGAATGATATCCAATGATATACAATTAAATTTGTAGTCGATTCGATATAAAATTTTAAAATTAAAATTTTGATTTAAAATTAATTAAATTATTTAAATTTAATTTGATTAATTAAATTAAAATTGATAAAATTATAAATATTAATATTAAAGATTATATTTATTTATATATATTAAATATATTAAAATTTTAATTAAAATCATGAACCTTTCAAATTAAATATTAAATACTTTAATATAGTTCCAGTCATCATTTAAATAGTTCAAATTCGACTTAACAAAGTATGAATAGTTTGATCCATTAACGCAATAATTAGAACCGGGAAACGTAAAACTCGAGCCCGAGTCCCTGTCTGGTTCATGTAAGTTTTCGATTGTCCCCAGTCTTGATTGATAGGCTCGCTTGGGTTTTATCCATAAAGATTGGAGGAGATTGAGCCAGGTTGCTTTGTCCGCCTCTCATTCCTTATCCTCTACCTTGTCGGCACCAGTTCCTGTGGACAAACATCATTTTTTATCTCTGGCAAAGCAGTGTCATGAAAAAATACAAACAAGCAACAATTTAAAAACAAAGATTAATAAATTGTGTTCATACGATTTCTATCTATCGTTCCTTTGTCATTTTCTTTTAATTTTCCTTTCAAGTTTCAACCCTTTAATCTCCTTCATTGGTCTCCAAGGAATTTGTACAATCCGGTGGCACAGGCATTGACATAAACTTTCATTCGATCATGATAATTTAAAATATAATATAATGATATAATATAAAATAATATAAATAATATAATTTAAATTTTTTAAAAATTATAAATAAATTTAATATAATAAAAATATATTTTTATATTTTTTATTTATATAAATTATAATACATAATTTTTTAAAAAATATAATATAAATATAATATTTTATATCACACGATAATACAAATTATTAAATTTAATTTTAAATATTTTGAGTCGTTCTTGAATTTTGAATATCATAAATTTAATCCAATGAATTTTTTTTAATGAATTGGTTCAATCGTAATTTTGAATATAAAATTTAAAAGATCAAATAAAAAATGATACTTTGAGTCATAAAATTATAATAAAATATATTATTGATTAATATTTATTGAATTTGAAAAAAAATATAAAAAAATTTCATCCTAATATGCATATAAATACAAATGATCTAATGAGATAAAAAATTTTCAAGAGTTTTGAAACATTTCCTTTTTTTTTATCAGGAATAGTAGTTCTAATTTATTGGAACAATATCAAAACTATTTAATTTAATAATCAATAAATTATACTAAAATAATAGATTTTATTTTATCCAGTTGTCCCATAATTCAATTATTGAAAATCTTGAAGAGTTATTATTAACACTTGTTAAAATGATATAAAAAAATTATAATTAAAAAATTGTTTCTTTACTTTAAACAAAAAAAATATTTTTAAAATAGGATTCTAATTAATGTTAACTAATGTGTATAAACATTAATTAACCAAATCTTTTGACTATTTATAATGGTATTATTCTAAAATTGTAATTGAAAAATACTTTTGAAAAATTTTTATATTGTAAAAAATATTGAAAATCTGATGGAATCCAACGGCTGAAATTGAAGATTTAAACGGAGAAAGAAATGACTCAGAGGGTCCACCTCATCTAAGGTAAAAGGCAAAGACTGGTAATAAAAGGCTCCACGCTCCCACCTTCTGACAGAGTAACGGTTGGCTTGCTTCGATAGTTAGACTCAGCCACTAGTACAAATCGTTTCCGACACGCATACCCGTCGGAGATTCGGTCGTAGAAATTTGGATTGGAAAACCCAATCAAAAGGAAAGGAGAAGAAGCCGTAGCCAAAAGAAAAACAGAGATGACTACAAGTACAGCCACTTTGGCTCTTTCTTCGGCAACGCCCGGTTCTTGTTTGATCACTCGTACCAATGGCAAATCATATCCGGAAACCAAAACGACGATGATGACGTTGAAATCAGCGTCGTTTCCTTCCTCTTTAACCGACGTCAATTTTTCTACTGAGGCACGGAGAATCATTTCATGCCAAGCAGTCTCCGCCGTTTCCGTGGACGAGGACAAGAAAGACGCGTCGGTTTCGGGATCGGCCAAAGCTGAAGAGGTGGCTAAAGTAGGGGCCAAGGTTAGGGTGAAAGTGCCGCTCAAAGTGTATCACGTGCCTCGCGTGCCGGAGGTGGATTTGACCGGTATGGAAGGAGTGATTAAACAATATGCGGGGCTCTGGAAAGGGAAACGAATATCAGCTAATCTTCCTTACAAGGTGGAGTTCCTTGAGGAAATTGAAGGCCGGGGACCTGTCAAGTTCTTTGCCCATCTTAAAGAGGAGGAATTGGAATTCCTTTGATTAGAAATCCTGATTCTTCTCCGTACGCCAGGCAAAAATACCTTTTTAAAAAAATCTGTTTGCTTTATTTCACATAACAAAAAACAAATAATTGCTCACTGTTGTATGTAATTTAACCTTTACCGTTCAGCTCTGCCTGGGAATGGGATTTCCCTTTTTTTTTTTTGTTTATTACTTGGTAGAATTGAATTTCTTATACCCAAGGGTTACCTTCATTTTTTAAGGTTTACTGAGTACTTAACTGCTTATTTGTGTATATGCTTTGTACTCTTTTTTCCACCTTGCTAGTGTTGCGGATGGATAGATATACTAGCACTGGTATCATAACTACTGTTAGAATTTATTCTTGTACTGATTTGATAACATTAACAGCAATTACATGCTTTCTCCTTTGTGGGATTTGAGGCAAAATGGGCTATCTTTTCTAATTACACTTTAAATGCCATCAGGAACCTGTCATGATACCAAAGTTGACTCTTTTTTTTTACCCCTTTTGAAGGGCGCAGGTGGGCTTCTGTTGTTCAGTTTCTATTAGTTTTCAGTTGTTGTGTACTCTTTCCCAATTGGTTGAGTCAAGGATGGTAATTCTGTTTACTTTGATTTGGAATGTTTATGCTCTCAAACACTAGACTACAAAGGCATCCCATGTACTTATTTTGTTGGTGAGGGTGTCGTTTAGCATTAATGTAAAAAAGTCACTGCTATTTCTATGCTAGTTGGTTCTCTGTCGTTTAGTGTTTTTGAGGATGATTAGTGGTAATCATCCCACAAAACAACCTTGACAGGTTTAATACATACCAACAGGCAAGATGATACTTGAGATGATTAGAGGATTTTTTACTCATTTTTTTACAGCAACGGCGAATTTAGGAAAAGACCTACTTGTTGAAATCACAAAAGTGCTTGCATATCTGACAAAGAAAGACAGACAGGGCCATACAAAATTAGACAAGAGGGCAATTTTGAGCTGCTTTGGAAATTGGCCTTCGTAACGTAGGTGTGGATGACCATAGGTTAATGGTGTGAATGGATTAGGATCACTTATCTTTGTTGTTGTGGCTGTTACTTCTTTACATAATGATTGGTGAATGATTTATAAACTGGATACTAAATTTTTAATTTAGCATTTTCTTACTTGAGATACAGCATGACATCTCCATTTGGTTTCCTGCTGAAGTTTCTGTATTTGTTGTGCATAATTCTAACTAGCATTGGTAATAAAAATAACCTGTACTATCATTAAATAGTTTCTTATAACTGAGAGTTCTCAGATACTATCATTGCTATTATGGAATGGACGCCTTGTTAAGCCTGTTCATCTTATTCAATACTTGCCATTCTTTCTGCAGCTTTATCTAGGTAATTTCATTTCAAACTATTATCATTAATGTTCATCATTTTGATGTTAAATGCTATGTTTGTATAATTTATCAGAAGAATAATTTACTTAACTAGAAGCATGCTGGTGAAATAGCCAATTACATGTCATACAATTTTTTATCATTTCACTTTGCTTTTGAAATGTAAAAATTTCATTCTATGAATATCTGTCAATCTGATTTGATAAGTCTACTTAGAACAATTCCTGCTTGCAATTTTTTACTGGAAGTTTAAAACCTACTCATTTCACCTCAAGACAAAAATAAGATTTGCAAAATCATTCAATGAATGCATTAATGTGTTACTTCTTCTAAGGTATGATTCAACCCTTGCTTCGTCATTCATATCAAGAACAAAGTACACCTCTAGAGTTTGCTAGCGAGAGGGCTTTTATCTCAAATGAAAAAAGGGAGCAGTATGGTTGCTTGTAAATCTAGCCTTCCTTTTTTGCTCCTTTTCCCCAAAGGAAGCTTCTTTAGACTTGCATTTTTCAGGTGAATGACATATACTGTATCATGCTGGATACATCAGTTAAAATGTGCATTTCATTTATATATTTTTTTAAGGAGGTAGTGCTGTGACTCGTGATGAGATTGTATTACCACTACTTTGTTCTGCATGTTGTTATTACATTGATATTGGCTCTGAAGTTCACTTGCGGAGTTATAAAGTGGGAGGTTGGTAAGCAGTCAGTTTGGCATAATGCTGTTTGATCATTTGGTAAGTACTCTCGGTTGCTTTTCCGTGCTGATGCCTTTGAAGTGGATCCTCATGCAATGGTATTTGGGTATTTTGTTGCTATGTAACAGCGGAATATGCTGTATATGTACACTTCTGCAGCACCAAATTTATACACATGACCATTTTAGCGTTGTGTTTCTAGTGAAATTGTCAAGTAAGGTAGACACTAGGAAGTACAGTGGAAACTTGCCTGTCTATATGTCTTTAACTCTCAGTGTCTAAATGGCATTTCATTTCAAGCATCACATGCTCTCTCTCTCTCTCTCTCTCTCTCTCTCTCTTGGCCCCTTTGCCATAAACAGATCTGAATTTCATGCTGTTTGCATCTTCAGCATTATTAAAAGTTGGCCCAAATAAACGTCAAGGGAAAATCTTGATTGACATAATTGTTTCAGTCTTGCATCACTTTATGTTTATGTAATGCTGTCTTTTATGGTTCAAATGTAATTTTACCACTCTGGTATTGTGTGCGTTCTTGCAGTATCAGAGGAAAGAAACAAGTGGATCCTAAGCATCTGGGACTTTCTGTTGCAGTGATCCAATGAGTATCAGCAAGTGCTCCTCGCAACCGAATTGACAAGAGAAAAAAAAAAAAAAAAACTCCAAGGTTTTATTCAGACATTAATCAGACTGTTTTTGATTTGAAACCCATCTTCCTATTGGCCTCTTCTTTACCGACCACGAATTTTTGAGCCATTCCCCTAGTCTATTACTCTAATAAAAATTAAATGGGCATTCGGAGTAGTTGTGAAAGAAACAAGTGGATCCTAAGCATCTGGGACTTTCTGTTGCAGTGATCCAATGAGTATCAGCAAAGTGCTCTTCGCAACCGAATTGATAGGAGAAAAAAAAAAAAAAAACTCCGAGGTTTTATTCAGACATTAATCAAATTGTTTTTTATTTGAAACCCATCTTCCTATTGGCCTCTTCTTTACCGACCACGAATTTTTAAAGCCATTCCCCTAGTCTATTAACTCTAATAAAAATTAAATGGGCATTTGGAGTAGTTGTGATAATTGTAGGTTTACCGCGTACATTCGACAAACACAAAATTGGGTTTAAAAAAGGAAGAAAAGGAAAAGAAAAGCAGGGTTAATGATATATTGAGTGGTTGAATGAAATCATTCCTTGATTCTTCTTCAAGTTTTGAATTTGAAATTGAAGGGAAAGAGGGTGTTGACTCAGGTAGGCACAAAAAAGATATTAAAAAGGAGGGTTGTCTAAACCAGGCAAAATGTTGTCAAACCAACAACTTTTGACAAGTACAAGTCAAGGTAGAATTGAGTAGCCTTTGTTTCAATCATTTTATCACGTGTTATTCCGATGAGTTGAAGAGGAATAGACCAATCAATTATATTAATGTGCTTTTAGACAGATATTGAAATAGAGAATGGGAAGAATGAAGCAGAGAAGGGAAATGGACAATGTAGACCATGATGTTCTGAATCATCATTTGGATGAGGTTGCTTAAAATATACCCTCTCAATATTACTCTATTTTGCACATGCAATGATGGGAAAATAGCATCTCATATATTACAACAACTATAATGGACAGTTTGGCACACGTGGCAATGTGATGTTTGCACAATAACTTTGTTATTTTTTTTAGTTTAATTTGAAGAAGGGAAATTTGTATCATATTCTTGAATTATCAACCTTTTCCTTTTTTTTTTTTAATTTTAATTAGAGAAGAGTTTGAGTTGGAAAAGTGAAATAGATATGAATTAAAGATTTTCACGGCCATATCGTGGGAAAGGATGGGTTGGCGTGCAATCAGAATTTCATGATTGACATGAAAGCGAAAATCAAAGTGAGAAGAGAAGAGAAGAAGCCGTAATTTAGATGGCTCCCACTTTTTTCTGGGTAACCAAAGTAATTTTTAAAACCACTTCTCCTCTCGTTAACCCACCCAAAAAAAAAAAGAAAAATTGAAAAAGGTAAGCAGAGTTTTGATGAGAAAGAAATGAGGGTGGGGTATGGTTGCCTATTCTTTTCGATTTTGAGTTGCAGATGGAGGGATCCCTCCCTCATTGGGCTGGGCCTTTTTTTGTCAACCCACACCAATTTTTTTTTTAATAAATTTTAACTTCCCTCCCACTTCCCCTCCTTGATTAATTTTGAAAAAAAAAAAAACCGCAAAGCTTATTAATCAGTGAAAAGGAAAAAAAAAACTTGAACAAGGAGCAAAACCCCAACCAGCAGCAGTGAAACCTGAAAGCGGCCCCTTCTCTTCCTTCTTTCCTCTTCTTCTGTGTTTTAAATCTGGAAAATCTCATTTGATATAGTTCGCTTTTAAGTTGAAGATTTGGGTTTTAATTAATAAAGAATTGAAGAAATTTGGGTTTGAAAAACCAACAAGAAAAAAGCAAAAGCAAACCCACTCTTCTACTTACTTATTCATACGTTTCTTTCTACATTCAAAAAGAAAATTCGATTTTTTTTTTATTTCTTGCGTTTTGCAACTACTGCTTCTCTACTCTTTTTTCTGTATAAACAAAAAATATAAATTTTAGAGGAAACCCAAGAAAGAAGAATAAACAATGAAGCTATGTCTCCAACCATTGTCGTATCTGTAAGTTTTTGGTTACTTGTAAAATGTCGTTTACTCCTTTCTTTTAATATGAATTTTTTATTGTTTCCGATCTAACGGTAAAAGTTATCGATTTTGCAGTCGTAGGAAATGGTTAAAATAATGAAATGAGGATGAGATCTACGGCACCGTTCATCAAATTTTTTATTTGAATGTTTGCTATAGCCATTGCTAGGATTTTGTCTTCTGTTTCGTTTCCGCCATGACTACCAAACGTGCTTACAAGCTACGTATCCTTTTTTAGGGTTTTTATTAAATTATGTTTACAATTGCTATTTTATATATGGGTTTTCCATAAAAATTGCCCTGATCACCTTAAACAGATCTCTTTCTCTTCCTTTGTTTTTTTGTTAGTATTTTTTTTTCTTTGGGTAGCCTTAATAATTGTAATAATAAACAGAGGAATTTGTCGCGCATTCTTCAAGTGTGAATTGCCTAAAGATTGGAAGGAAATCGTCGAGGGTTCTTGTGACTGGAGGGGAAGATCACAAGGTTAACCTTTGGGCTATTGGTAAACCCAACGCCATACTGGTCAGTTCTCTCTCAGTATTTGCCCAATGCAAATTATTAAATTGGTTTCAAATACCTCTTTTTTTTTTATTTCTTTTATCTCTCAGTAATGAAAATACCAGTACAATTTATTGTTTGCTCACTAGCCACTAAGGGGGGAAAAAGAATTTTTGATATGGCACATGTTGTATTTGAACCATAACATCAGAGTTTGTCGGGACACACAAGTGGAATAGATTCGGTGAGCTTTGATTCTTCAGAAGTGTTGGTAGCCGCAGGTGCTGCAAGTGGTTCCATCAAGCTTTGGGATTTGGAGGAGGCAAAAAGTATGCTTGTCCAATTTCATGGACTTTCTTTAAAAAAAAAAAAATCAAAATATGCATGTTGCTGTAAGTTAAATGTAGTTCTTAAATATGTGTTACATTGACTTTTTTTTTTTTGTTGCAATCCGATGCTTTTCTAGTTGTTCGGACTCTGACTGGTCATAGATCCAATTGCATCTCTGTGGACTTCCACCCCTTTGGCGAGTTCTTTGCATCTGGCTCTCTTGATACAAATCTCAAGATTTGGGATATCAGAAAGAAAGGGTGTATCCACACTTACAAGGGTCATACACGAGGAGTCACTGCAATCCGGTTTACACCAGATGGCCGATGGGTTGTATCTGGTGGTGAGGACAACTTTGTCAAGGTCAATGTTGTTGTACTCTAGTTCATGATGCTAGTCATTTTGTGCTAATGTGATCCTTAGATTGTACACATTTTTTTATCTTCCTTTTTCTTTTGGGATCTGTGTGGGCATGGTAGGGTGAATAAACATAGAAGGGTTTTCAATTCTTTTAATGGCAGTCTGTTTCATGGCCATGATTTATTTCCTGGGAATTGGAATTGAGATTGTATTGTGGAGTTCGGACTGAGGCTATGCAAAGCTGAGGGCATTGAATTAACTAACATACCTTGTTTCATTTCACATTATATTTTATTCACTGAGCCAGCTGACTTTAAAACTTTGGCTGTACTGTTACATGGCCATAAATGGATCCATAGGTGCAGATCTTTGTCTTGCTTACATTAGGATTTGGTGTCTGCAGGCAATTTCAGTGTTTTAAATGGTATGATGGTCTGACTGGCATATAGATTGCCTGCTGTCAGTTCTCTTTTTGATAAAAGAAGTTTTCACCTTGTAAACAGATTTAAATGCACATGTATAGTCAGGATGTATATGCATAGTTTTGAGATTTGATGTTGATTCGTGATAGCTTTTACAATGGTCTTTGTTATGATCTATATATCAACAGGTGTGGGATTTGACTGCTGGAAAACTGTTGCATGATTTTAAGTATCACGAAGGCCAAATTCAGTGCTTAGATTTCCATCCCCATGAATTTCTACTGGCTACAGGTTGGTTATTACCTTATATTAAAATAGCTGTTGCTTATTGCTCACTTGAGAACTCATTCTATGATGTTGTCCTAAAACTAAGTTCTAATCCCAAGACTTGTTATGTTGTCCAAGCAAGTTGTAAATCCTTCTTGTTTGTTCTGATTTTCATTATAAATCCTCTTGCCTTTGCAGGTTCAGCCGATCGGACTGTTAAATTTTGGGACCTTGAAACTTTTGAACTTATTGGTTCAGCTGGGCCTGAGGTACTTTTGTTGGTCTTTAGTTACCATTGTTGATTCTCTTAGTAGAGTTAGAGATTCATATTGAGATCATAGGATCTTTTAGTTTCTTGTTTTTATGGAGGAGTTTATACGTGAATTTTTTTCTGTATACTGTAGACTGCTGGAGTCCGTTGCTTGACCTTCAATCCTGATGGGAGGACTGTACTCTGTGGATTGCATGAAAGTCTGAAGGTGAGATCCATTACAGTTCAACTTTTATCAATCTAAAATGATTTACTAGTATGCTATTCCAGTTGGTACTTCATTTTTGCTTTTAACTGCTAGGTTTTCTCATGGGAACCGGTAAGATGTCATGATGGTGTGGATGTGGGATGGTCTAGATTGTCAGATCTTAATGTTCATGAAGGAAAGCTTCTTGGCTGCTCTTATAATCAAAGCTGTGTTGGAGTATGGGTTGTAGACATCTCGGTATTGCTTAGTTTTCCACATGTCAATTTATTTAATCAGTCCATCTTTCTTTATTGGCAATTATTGTCTTAAAGATTTTAACATTAAATTTTGGTCTCTGGTGCAGCACATAGAGCCTTATGCTGATGGTAATGCTAATCGTGTGAATGGTCATTCTGAACCTAAGTCTAGTTCCAGTGGAAACCTCTCTGTACTGAATGAGAACACAACAAAAGCTAGTCTGGGTAAATTATCAGTTTCACTAAACCCTGATACTTTAGTGAAGGAAACAAAATCCCTTGGAAGGTTGTCTGTTTCACAAAACTCGGATCCTGCTAAGGAGTCCAAAAATTTGGCATGTATGTTATGTTTTATTTTAATTTTGTTTTGGGGTTTTGCATTTTCACTTTACTTTCTGTTTCTTAATTCTCACAAATTTCTTTAGAAACTGTATCATTAAATATACTACATGTCCTGAATTGGTTTTCATTTATCAAGTTTACCCATTCAAAAGAAAAAAAAACTAATGTTAGTTGAAAAAAGGTCTCAGGAAAGACAAGTGAAATCCATCACTCTAAACTTTACGATACAACTCTTTTTGAGCAATAAAACAAAAAGGGAAAAAGTTGATTGATGCATAGAACTTGTATAGCAGAAATGCTCAAAATTTCTCTTATATTTTTTTATTTTATGTCCTCAAGTTTTTCTGTTAAGCGATTAACATTATGGTATTGCTTTTGGTATGCAGGCACTAGTAATAGGTCAATTTGTTTAAAAAAGAAAAGAAAAAAATTTATGAAAATGATTAATTGATAATTAGCAACAATATTACATGTTCAGCAAAATAGTAAACTTAGTTCTTCAAAAAGTTGTGGAATATCTGGAAGTAGTAGTGGGCAGGGGGTGTAAGGCTATCTATCTATGTATGTATCTATCTTATTCTGGTTTTTACGTAATGGTTAAAGTGACAGGAAATATACCTGGTACCCCTCAAAGGTTCAATTTAAACACTGCTCCAAAGACAACTCAACCGAGTTCAGCAACACTTCCTAGTGTAGCAGCTTCAAAGAGGAGTTCTATGAGGGCTAGTTCAGCTGTCAATGTTCCACCTTTTAACAAGTCAGATGTCATACCTGTGATTGTGCCTAGAAATGATACGAGATTGGAGCAGGCTGTTGAATCAAGAAAAGAAGTTGGAATATCTGGGAGAAGTTTGGAGCACGCTGCTGAATCTAGAAGCAAAGTTGGAATAGAGAGAAGTTTGGAGCTGAGCTTGCCAGCTGCTGAATCTAGAAAAGAAGCGGGAATAGTTGGGAGAACTTTGGAGGAAGGAGTTGATTCCAGAAAGAACCTCGTATTGTTGGAAGAACAATGCCATTTTCTTTGCAGTCAAAGACATCTAGTTTTCAGAAGTTTCAAAATAGCAGGGAAGACATGGACTGGCCAGCTATCTCTGTGCTGTCTGAAAGTACAGGTTCTAAGGTGGCTGAATTCAGCAGTGTTCTGGACAGGAGTATGTTTCCTTCTGTTAAAGGCCCAATTCTAGGAATGCCTGCTTGTGACAAGAATATGAAGGAAGATAGGTGTATTGGCTCTGGCAAGAATGAACCAAACTCGGTGATGGAATTGCCTTCAAGCTACCAGGATGAAAATCGTATGTTTTTAAAACTCTTAACTCACAGCTTTGCCTTTGATTTTAACTTTCATATTTCGTTGCTTCTTCCAGATTTTTTAAATTTTCTATAGTGTGTTGTTTGCTTCTAACCTTGACACTTTCATCGTTGGTCTGTGAATTAGATTATGACTGAAAATCTTTCTATTGAAATGCTTAAAGGACTGTGTTTGATAGCAACCAGGAGATTTTTTTACACTTAATATGAACAATAGAATGAGTTAGATGGAGAGAACAATGAAGAGTACCTTTTATAAATTCAAATGATAACTTCTGTACTTTTCATAGAGAAAGTGTCATTTTGGGAGCGCAATGTCCTGCCACTGAAGGAGTATAGCAAAAAGTAAAAGAGTCCCCTTGGTATTTTGATATGGATATATAAGGTAACCATTAGGTTACATTTAGAAGTTCCACAAGAACCCTTTTAATTAAGGTTTCATTTGGTTGATGCTTTTGTTATTTGCTTTTTACTTTTTCCAATAGAAAGTGGAAAGCAAAAAATAAAAAATGAACACACACAAGGGGAAAATAGCAAACAGCAAAAAGCAAAAGTACCAACCAAATGGAGCCATCTCTCTCTCACAACACAAACACACGCATTGAAACCATGTTACCTGAAGAATTGTACTTCTAAGTAATTCTAAGTTGACTACATTCCTATTACTTTTTAAGGACAGTAAGGTGCAGTGATAGGGAGGTAATCTTATGAGTCTCTTTATCTCTCCTGAGGTTGTTATACCCTTGGGATAGCATAGTTGGCCTTGAGGATTATAGCCTTGCCTGTGGTATTATTATTTGGCTTAGATACCAGACCTCCTAATTGATGGAGGGCAGAAAGCAAAAGGAATGAGTAACTTGAACTTCTGTTTCTGCTATATGCTCCTTAAGTAGATGGAATAGATCTAACTTGGTCTAGCTTGAGGGCTATGATTTAAGCTTTGTTTAGATTGGTTTGGCTATTCGTTAATTTGCAGGCGTGTGTTATCCCATTACAAGCATTCTTGATTTGTTTGGTTTTCAAATGGGATCTAGCTTGAGCAGGCTGTTATGCATTTCTCAAGTTGGAATGTTCAATTATTCATGCTGAACTCTAATTCTTTCTTTCAGATGATGCACAAGTGGAAAAAACACATAGAGATGCATATTCTTTAGAAAGCCAAAAAGGAGGTATATCCATTGATAGCTGGTTGATATTATGCACAATTCTATGAAGTCTCAACTCATTACACTTGGTCAATTCTTCAGGAAGAAAACGTTCAGTAGTCATTAATTGGGAGAAAAGAGGGAGATCTTCTAATTATGATGGACCTACTTTGAGTATCTCCCCGGGGAATGCATCTGTGGCAAACATGCCTTCCTTTAATTCAGTAAAATAGATCATATTTACTTTCTTTCCTTTTTTTTCTATATGTTCTCAAAAGTCCCTGTCAGCTAATTTATGCATCCATGTTATTTTTTTTTTTAAGTATAAACAAAGAGGATACCCTACCTCTGTGGAAAAAGAAGTGCCTTCTGCCAGTGATGAGGATGCTGTTGCAGATGTACTGGAGCAGCATGACCAATTCATTGGTTCTATGCTGTCTCGTTTAGCTAGGTTACAGGTGAGCCTAAACAAACTAGTCATGCTAATGGATTGTTTAGATGCTTTTATTGTTTACTTAATAGTAAGATGTCTATAATGTTGAAGTTTTTATAGAAGATTGTTGAACCTTGTTTATTATTTTGGTTATAGGTTGTTCATCGATACTGGGAAAGGAATGACATAAAGGGGGCAATCAGTGCAATGGAAAAGATGGCTGATCATGCTGTAAGCACTTTATGTTTGATAATACATCCATCTCTATTCAAATTTTCGTGTATATTGAACATATTGGAGAGCCACTTCCAATTGTTTTCTTTGTATGATGGAAATTTCAGGTACTTGCTGATGTGATGAGCATTGTCACTGAGAAAATAGACATTGTCACATTTGACATTTGCACTTGTCTTCTGCCACTTCTCTCTGGTCTCCTTGGAAGTGACATGGATAGGTAAGAACAGTGTCATAATCTTGCATTTGTTATGCATTTTTGTAGTGAGTCAGGCTGGCATTTTTGTTCTCCATTTGTTCTGGAAACATCAATTGCTTTCAGTACTTTTCTGTGGTACAGTTTTGGTCAAACATTAAACTGCAATACTCAGAAGGTGGTTAAAATGAGTAGTATTTTAGTACTACTTGTATAAGGTTCTGTTCGGTGTTATTGTACCTAGCAATAGAGTATGTTTCAGTATTTAACTGCAACTTTTATCTAGGCATTTGAGCATCTGTCTGGGTATGCTGCTTAAGCTCATCAGAGTATTTGGTTCAATGATATATTCAACATTATCTGCTTCGACACCTGTTGGTGTAGACATTGAGGCGGAGCAAAGGTGTGCCTGCTTGCTTTGTAACTGCAAATTTAATGTTAAAATGTTAAGTTATTGGATTTTTAATTGAGATTTCATGTTGCCAATTGTCCTAGGCTTGAGCGGTGCAACCTCTGCTTTATAGAACTTGAAAAAGTAAAACGCTGTCTGCCCACACTTACTAGGTGAGTATGGTGGTTGTTTGAACCTGTATAATCGCTTTAGGGTTTAATCATATGCAAATCTTCTATACTGTATGACTTATTCCAGAGATATTTTTTATTTATATTTTTTCTTTTTGTTTCCTTTTTCTCCATAGAAGAGGGGGATCAGTGGCAAAATCTGCCCAGGAATTGAATCTAGCCCTTCAAGAAGTATCGTAACATTAATCAAAGCATTGAATGAATGCATGCACAAGCTTATTTTTATCCATTGAATGAAAGCAAGTTTTGGCACTTCCACGCAGTCAAGCATCAATCACTATGATGCATATTGTCTTGCCAAGTTCTGCTGCACCTTGTACATTTTATACCAAGTGGAGGAATTTTAACTGCTAACTGATTCTACTAAATTGACTGAAAAGTGAAGACTGAAGGCTAATTGGGTTGTTACTCTGGTGCTGGTGGCTGCACAGGTTTTTCCAACTTCTAGTTTATACCTTCTTGGTAAAGATTATACCAACATCGTGTTCCACATCAATTTGTACGTTATGTTCATTAATGATTAACTATTTTTATGAGTTTGTCACTGCAATGAAGCAGGCAGATTTGATGAAATTTGAATTTCTTCTTGTGGTTGTATAGCGTTGGGAAAGGGCGAAGGCATGATGGTTGGTGTGTTTTTTTTATTCAATTTTTACGAATTTAACCTTTCAAATTTTATATAAAATTTGTGGATTTTATGCTAGTCAAATAAGAGTCAAACACTAAACCCAGGAACTAGGTCAAATCTTAAACCCCAAACATTACTTCAAAACCCTAGACTCCAGATTATAGTTCAAAACCTAAACCCAAACCCTATGTCAAACCATAAACTCAAATTGTAAATTAAAACCTTAAATCCCAAGTCTTAGGTCTTAAGCGTAATCTCCATGTATGTCTTCTATTTGTTTATTCACACTATTTAATTTATTTCCGTTACATTATTATGCATTTTAGTTTATGCATTATCAATGTTCAATGTTGAAGTGGCAATGATGCTTATTGAAATAGTTTTTTTAGACATAATAAATGAGATAATAAAATTCCCAAGTCAAATTAGTTTTTGGAAAATTTGCTTAGACGTTGAAAAGAACCTAATGATTAGTTATACAAGGGGTATTATCTTTAATTAAAAGGAATGTTACGGGTATTTTCGAAGGGAAGGATTTTTTCTTTGATTTCGTTTAAATATTGAAGAATTTAACTGGTTATTGCTATTATTTTTAAAATAAGATTTAATTTAATCTTCAAGGTGAAATTTTATATTTACTGATAGATAGGTATAAATTATGTAAACAAATATTTTAATTGAAAAATAAAATTAATATATTAAAATCACATCAAAAGAATATTATACATTAAAAAATTTAAAAAATATAAATTATTTTTGAACTTGTTATAATGAAGATTATTTTGAGAATAAAAAATTTTATAATACAAAATAATTACAATTTGAAAAACAAATTTTAATTTACATGTTAAATATGTACTATTAATTATTATTAATATCACTTTATCTCGATGGTAAAAATTTATTAAATTTTTAGATAATAATTATATTACCACCTAAGATAGTGATCTAATTGTTCTCAATTATCTAATATTATCGTCATGTGAGATCATTGAATGCTTATCAAATACGATGATCTAATTATTATGTACAAATTATCATGATTTTTTAAGTGATCATTTCATATCAAACACTACCTTACAAGATAATTTTTGGAATTTTCACTTGATTAATAAAATAAAAGACTTTGTTTTTTTTAAAATAGAGAATAAAAAATAATAATAAGTTAAAAATATGAAAAAGAATATAGTTATTATATCATTTTATTTATTTGCCTTTTTTTTTCACCTTTACTCTTTGTTCTTTTGCCTATTTACTTTTTAAAGTAGAGAATAAAAAATAAATAAACACATATGAAGAGGTGGAGATTAGACAGAAACTTGGGAGAGAAAAAGGAGAATTGTTTAATGAATCAAATAGTTTTAGGTAGAAATCAAGGGAAAATATTTGGTTTCTGGTAAAAGGGTTCTTGTGAGTCTTTAAAAAATTTTGGAGAATTATGGAAATTGGTTTTGATTCAGATAAATGTTAAAGGGATTTCATAAGATTAAAAGAGGAGATTTGACTTTTTTTTGAAGATTTTTTGAAGATTTTTCTAAAAATTTTTAGATTTCAGTGAAATATTCCTACGAACTTTAAAATTTTCAATTGATTTCTGATAAAATATTCAATTTTCGACCAAAAATCTAGTACTCGGTGAAGAATTTTTCAGTGGCCATCTGCAAATCCCAATGGCCGGAAAATGATTTAAAGAAAAAAACAAAAAAATAGAGAAAGCAAAAAAGCTTCAATTGAGATTTTATAATCTCATACTACAACGCCGTATAGATCTTTTGAGCACTCAACGTATTTTACCAGATCATAACCAGGGATCTACACAATTCAATTTTTAGACCCGTGCTCCCATTTTGCTTTGAGCCAAGCTACGCCCAGGCCGAGTGTTGAGCTGTTCTGGTCCTTGTGTCTACAGTCACATTCTTCAGCTACTAAACCAAGCCGATTTCAGGTATTTTTATTTTTTAACTGTTTTATTTATTCATTTATTTATTTAATTATCTAAATATATTTTTAGATAAACATATTTAAATAAAAAGCTTTTCTAATATATTATAAAGCATTTTTTTAAAAAAGATAAGATTTTATTAACATATTAAAAAACCTTATAATCTTTTTATTTTTCAAAAAAAATAAAAAAAATTTTACCACCAAATTGGAAGGTCAATATTTTATTTACAAAATAAAATTTTATCAACATTTTGAAAAGCCTTATAATTTTTAAAAATCAAGTTTCAAAAAGAATAAAATAGTAAAATGATATTTCTTGTCTTTTCGTATAAAATTCTACTAATAGATTGGAGAATAATTTCAACAGAAAATTTTACTAATAGATTAGAAGATATTTTTTTATTAGAAATCCAAGTTATAGATATTTATTTTTGGAAGCAAAATTGAATGAATATGACCGACGGATCCTTTTCAAAACGTGACAAATAATTTCTTTAAATACTTTTGAGGTGAAAAAATATTCTTAAATTATTATCAATATATTAGAGTAATTTAAAAAAAAATTTTAATATTAAATTATTTAGTAAATTTTAAATATTTTTTTAATATTTGGATAACTTAAAATTAGATTGGTTCCATTTTTATATGGGTGTTAACATTCTTCACGCATAACTGTATTTCTAGACTTAAATTTTAATTTCGTAAAGTAGAATATATTATTTAAAGACACCTAAATCAATACTACAATTTTTCTTTAAATAAGACAGATTCAATCAAGTAACTAATCGTATTTAAATAAAAAAAATTAATGATGACTCTTAAGATAATATATAGTAATAGATCTACAAATTTATATGTCATGACAAATATATTGTCACCTTAACCTTAACTCTTTTATTAGAATGCAATATTTTCTGCACTTTAATTTCTCTTATTCTTTTATATATAGCTATCTTTTTTGTCTTTATTATTTAACAATTTTCGCAGCATAGTGCGGGTGTTAATACTAGTGACAATAATAACTTCCTTCCAAAGGACGAGCCTAATGCGAGAGAAGAAAATAGAAAACTAAGAGATGAGTTGATTAACATAAAAACCTTAAAGAAACATCTGAAAGATAAGCTCCAGTTAACAGCAAATAGGAGTGACTCTGTTGAATTGACTTGGAGGGATCTTGAAAAACCATTGCAGACTTCCAGACAGGGTTAGATACTTAAAAGAAAAACTAAGGAAATGGTTGAAGTCCAAGTTGAAAAGCAGAAGTCGATAAATAAAAAACTTTAATAAACAACTTTCCCTGACCAAAGTTGAATTAAATGAGGCTTGTCAAAGCTTTCCTTCTCAAGACCTGGAACCAGAGAAGAAAAATAACTGCCACGAAGAATCGGAAGCCACATGTCTTGAGCAATATCAATCGTCCTATCTAAAGATAATGCCATTGTCAATTTTGTTTGCAGTACTGAGAGTTTTATGCACTGCTGACAGAAAGCGAATACCAAACTCTCAAGTTAAGCTGGAAAGAAATTAGTTTCCAACTGTAAATTCGCCTTATGCTGTTAGATGTGCATAAGACAATTTTTAAAAATGTATTAAAAAAAAAAAGGGTTGTTTAAGAATCAATATCTTAACAAACTATAAAAGACAAGCGATCTTTTATAGTACAGAAAAAGAAAACCCTTCTAAAACCCAAACGCAGAACACGGAAAGAGAGGTTGTTGAAGATTGGGAAAAGATATTTAAAATTTGTATATCCAAAAATTAGTTTTTTAATAAATTTTGATTAATTAATTTTTAAAAAAGTGATTAATCACATCTATTCAATAAAAAAATGATAATGATTTTACATAATTTTTTAAATCATTTAACTGTTGAAAACTGTTATGATTATGTTATCTCGTCAGTAAATTACACAGCTGAATTTAATTATCAATTGTTTTTAAATTTACTTTTAATAAAAATTGGGATTAAATTCATTAAGAAGTTAGAATATATTGATCAAATTCGTATAATTGAGATAATAAAAGACCAAATTCAGAGTTTACTACAATTGGATTTTGAATCCTTGTCCATAATTTTGGTTGCTTTATTATGTTATTGTTGCTGAATTTGTGGCCTATCGGGTCCATTTCGCTGCAATTTCCTCAGAATCTGATTCAGGTGCTACTTTTGTCTCTTTTCAAGTTAGGTGATTCTAGATTACTGCACAATGTTTAAAGCTGTCATTGCTTTTTTCATTAAGAGCTCGTTTCGATTGCATACGACTGGAGGTGGGGTTTCGAATACAATTGAGAATGGTACCGATGAAATCCAAATTTGCTCCAGTGTTTCATCTCATTGGTTTATTTTTTTTCCTTTTGTTTTTGGAAGTTTGGTTGTAGAGATAAAAACATCCTTACAATTTAAGGTTTTTTTATTATTTATTATTTAAAAATTATGAAATAATAAATAAATAAAATTAATTATTATATAATAATTAAAATTTAATAATTTATTATCGAAACTATTATTTGGTATAAAATAATTTAATAATATAATAAATTTTAAATAATTTAAATTTTTTATATACAAATATTAATCTAAGATCTATAATAGTTATTCTTTTACTTACTCCGATTCATTTTACCGTCATTGATATTGCATTTAAAGATATATTTATATTACAAATTTTAATTTAATTGTGACATCAATTAATTAAATTTTTATTATTATTTTTAATTTTATTAAAATCATTCTTACTTTTTATTAAAATAATTTTTAAATAAAAATTTAAATTTTATTACATCTTTAATGCGATATAATTAAATTTATCACACGATTAATTGAATACAAATATCAATTTTAATGAAATTCATTTAATATAAATTTTTTATAAATTTTTTAAATTATAATTACAATAATTTTTTTCATTCATAATTATAATAATAATAATATTATTATTTTTAATTTTACCGTCAATCCAAAAAAAAATTTTAAAGATTAGCCGCTTTCCTTAAAATTACACTCTCTCTGTAGTTTTTCCACCAAAGGTCCATCTTCTCCCGCTCTACCTAACAATCACAATTGATGGGATCTCCATTAGAGCCCAATACAATGAATCTCATTGTAAACGTTGTCCTCAATTTTGTTTGCATTTAGAAACATCCATGGTAACAAAGTAAACAGAAAAAGTACAATGTAAAATGAAAAAAAGTAGCCAAGAGCTGGGAGAGAGAGAGAGAGAGAGAGTATAACAAAATGAAAGACAAAAGTTAGCCAAGAGCTACACAACTAAACAATGTAAATATATCCGGTATGAATTTTGATAACACCATTGTTTCTATTTTTCCTTTTACATATTAGTATAACTTGAACTTACTCTGCACTCAATACTGTCATGCAGTTGAGGAGGACATCAATGGAAAAAAAATCAGTAGTACCAAGGTCTACCCTGTATTGTGAACATGTAAATTAATTATTTTCCAAGAGAAAGAGCATTAAAAAAATAGACCATATGAGACTGGAAAGAAACTGCAGATGAATCTAGGCAATCCTACCAAACCCGGCCGCAGTTATCCTGAAACTCAACATCACTAATATCATGGAATGCTGATGGCGTCACTTAAAACCCTTACCCGCATCATAGAGGGGATCATACTCCATTGAAGAATTTGCCCACTGTCATCAATATCAATTAACATGCTTATTTTCTCTTGCATAGCAACAACAGCTAAAAGGCAAGAAAATGGAGCAAAAAGAAACATTGACAAACCTGCAACTTGGAGGAATTAAAGGCACCCAAGCGTCCCATAACATTCCATGACTGAATAACCTGCATTTATCTCCAATTAAATGAATATAATAGTTTATAAGTAATAAACCATGCACAAATTAAGAGCAAATAAGAAAATGTTTCCCTCTACAACAACAAAAATGAACTAAGCCTTATATCCCTCTACATTAGTCTAAATATAGCGTCAAATTGCCAAAAGAAGGAACCAAAAGGAGAATGAAACTACTTACACTGCCAATGAGATTGATCAGAAGGCGATCCATATAACTCAAACCATTTATAGGAATCACGTGGGTTAAAACTGCACAACCATCAAAAACAAAATTTACTGCAAAAGTTGGAAGGTTAAACAGACATCAGTACTTCAGGTGTAAATTATTATAATGATACAGCATAGCTCCATCTGTGCTTACCATTCATTGGTCTAAGTTTATTTTTAACTATATTTTGACCAAACGAATTTGATCACATCCAGATTATTGGTATTTTGTTAGGAAAGACAGAGTTCCTCTCAATTCTCAACATTGAAACTAAGGTAGATCGTGGGAATTGAAGCCTTACTCGGCAGCTGACTTTAAAAGAAAGCACTGAGCCCGTCTTTTGCTTGTGAAAATCTCCACCCTTTTTTCCGAACACGCTCTTCGACCTGCAGAACATAAGTAGAAAACATATTGGAAGATCAGCTATAAGTTGATAAGGCTGAGGAAAGACAAAGAAAGGAAAAAGTATTTACGGACCCGTTTCCTCATAAGCTCAGGGTCGCCAATGCTATCGCCAAGAACTACTCGTAGTTCCTCATCATATTTGCAAGCGTTTTCTAGGACTCTTGTTTTGAAGTTAAAACGAAAAAAAGAATAATCACAGAGAGAATAAGTCAAACGGGAACAATGAAGGGTAAATATTAAAAGGAGAAGAAACAATGAAATTAGGAGTACTCGGCACATGAAGGATAATTGTGAAGCCTGTTGAATTCTTGTTTCCTCTTCTCTTCACGTATCTTGAGAAGTCTCCTCCCCCTCGCTTTGCCCCGACCTTTTAACATCAGTTGTGCTAGTTACATTGGAAGTCGAATTGCCTTCTTCAGCTGCTGCTGCTGCTGCTCGAATTCGAAGAGGCGGCGATTTCTTTTTGTCGTCATTGTTAATTAGAATCGGATAAGAGGAAAAGAAGAAAAGGGCAAAAAGCTGCTTGGCAACTGCGGGTAAATTCTGACGAAGAAGAAGAAGAAGGTGATGACGATGGATTTCATTCTTACTTGCATTTGGATTGCGAAAATATCCGTTCATTGCCATGTTCATCTTCCACCAATGTTACTATTTTCAGGATAACGAAAGTTTTTGGGGCTTCCTCGTTTACGTTGGCGGAGTTATCTTTTTACACGATTTTAGGTAATAAAGCCTCAGCCCAAAGAGATTTCATTTAAAGGACCATTGCCCGCAAACCAGGCCCATGACAGAATATCATTATTTTGTTTTTTTGTTAAGAAAATGTCTTTTTTTTTTTTTTATAAATTAATGAATTATAAAGAATAAATGTAAAAGAACATTAATTACCTCATATAAAAATTAGAAGATATAATAGTCTTTTAATTCTGTTTTTAGAATTAAAAATTTTATATTAATATATAAAACAAACAAAAAAAAAAAAGCAATCTTTTTGTGAAAAAAAAAGCTAATAGTTGTAAAAAGATATTTTTAATTAAAAAGAAAAAAAAGATTAAGAGGGATTTGAACCCACTAAATATTGAAACTATATTCTATATATACGATAACGATATTGTGTTTTTATCATAAACTAATTATTTCTTAATTTATATGTTTTTTTGGTTAAACTAATTATTTCTTAATTTATATACATTTTTTGGTCAAACTAATTATTTATTAATTTATATATTGGCAAATGATTTTTGTTAATTATTTAAATAACATCTAAACGAAACCCCAACTTCCAGTGACCATTGCTGTTCCGTGTAATGTAAACAACGGGAATCACATTCTACTGTGATGTGAGGACATAAAACTTGTACGCACGGGATTCAACGGTTGGCTTAATTTGATTTTTGACAGAGCGCATGGTTGAATGCTGCAAGAATCACGGAACCTTGATTATTAGCTTGAGTACATCAAAGAAAATCAAAGTTTTCAGAGAAAAAACGCCCATAAATCGCGACCATCAACAACCGTACAAGAGTAGAGCACAATGTGATTCCGTTTTGCAGTTACGGTACCACTCCAAATCCTCTGTTTAATATGATCACTGCAGCTCTGTTCTCTTAAATCACCTTCACATTTATGCCAAATAAACAAAATTTAAGGATTAGTGCAGTTGGGGGAGTGAAATTTGATGCTTAAATGTCCAGATTATCTGTTAAATTATTCTAAACGTAGAAAAAGGGGATATACCTTTCTTTCTTGTCCAGATTGACGCATTTTCAACATAATGTAAACATACTAGGAAGAAAAGATGGAACGGATGATCATATTGGTACCTTGATTAACAGCTATAACCTCCTTGTTGCTTGGCAATTGAATGTGTCACTGTCCATGGAACGGATATCGCACGCAAGAATTAGTGGACTGAAGCCTATGGTCAAACGATCGATAGTCATTGAGGATTAATTTCTTGGAATGAATCATCGATTCAAGGACCATAGCGAAAGCCCAAATGTTGAAGAGAGCGGTATTGTTCTGTCTACCTTCCTCAAATTGCCTATATGTATATACATTATGTATGGCCTGCCCGTACTTGAAATGGAATTTGGTAGAACCAGGAAAAAAAAAATGGAAAGGAAGGTCTTATATTAAATGTTGGACTCACAAAATTCATAATGATTTCTTCTATTTACGCGGATTTAATAAAAATATTGAAAATACTCTAAACACAACATAAAAATAATTTTATTAATCTGATAAGCTATCATCTAATATAATAATTTAACGAAGCTCAAGCTACCGCACAATCACATGATTTTTTATTTATCTCAATTGAGTTTTTCAGATATTTTTTAAGTCACCTTCAAAGTTTTACATAAAATCACACTTACAACTTCTTAACCTTACACAATGCTAAACAAAACAACGTATTTATACTAAAACTTTAAAATCTTAGGACCCACCAATAAAATAACTCTTAATAATAATAATAAGATAAAACTTGATTTAATAAATACGAATATTTGATCACTGCACATTATGCAGTTGATGGGAAAACTAAAATTCATGCATAATGATTCTCATTGTATAAAATCATTTTTCATAAATTGCATCATTCAATTAAATTTATTTGGTACAAATTTGCATAATTTCTTGAAGCTAAATTCATTCCTTGTTGTAAAAAATCACAATATATAAGCACATGTATAGTCTCTACATGCTTGCTGCTGTTATCACTCCACTACTCTCCATAAAAGAAGTCACTTTTGGTCAAGGGTTAACTCTTCTATGGGGTTTCAGAGTGTACATTTTACAAGCATGGGAATGCACTTGAGCAGAAATCTGATTTCGAACCGACCTCTTTGTTGAATGCTGCTCATTTCAACAAAAAAAAAAAGAAAAGAAAAACGATATAATTAGAACCTTTATGTAACCAGAAAACATACAAAAACTCTGATGTTTAGATGGAAACTCACCGCCCATAAGTCTCGAGCTTCAACAATAGTTGAAGGCTTAAGGCCTATATCTGACCAATAAGCAGTGATGTTTGCTCGGGAAGATCCTCTGTTCCATAACACCACGGCTACCTTCTCGTTAGTCAGAGGGCCAGCCCATACCTACATTATCAATTCATTTCTCAGAATTGTGGGGAAGAATAAAAGAAGGAAATTCCTCACAAACTTAAGCGAATGTGGAAAATGTTGAAGCAAACAAGAACTTATGAATGGGAATGAAATTACCTCAAGATCTCCATATTTCTTCACCTTTTTACCCTGGACTCCAAGTTTATCTGCAACGTTCAAAAACTCATTTGTTGAGACCGAAAGTTCATGTTTTTGTTTTTCTTTTCCAAATGGCTTAACATATTAGTCAACTGAATAGAATCGAGTCATTTCCCCATGCATATTTCTGACCTTCCCACGACTTACAAACTTAAGCATATTTTACCTTGATTGACCGCAATAACCTCCTTATTGCTTAACAATTCAAATGTCACATTATCCATAGACCTAACATCGCAGCCAATCAACAGCGGAGCCTGCAAAATGGCATACACAAAAAGGAAGTTACTATAATGTGGGCATAGGTGCATGGAAGTTTGGAATAGCGTACTTTAGCTAATGCCCATATGCTGAAATGGCACCGATATTCTTCCGTTGTCATGCCACCATTTCCTACTTCAAGCATATCGGGATCTGATTCAAAGAACTTATTTTTTAGGCAAAGCCAGAAGAAAAACATTCCACTATTCAGAATTCAGTCCAAGCAGCTAGGTGATATAACTAATGTTGTAATAGTACATCGTTTATGAAAGTTCCTACAATCATAGTTCATAGTTTATAGTGAATCATACCATTCCAAGCTCCAGGTTGAGCATACGAAGCCCATTTGTCATTTTGATCTGCGATGGATGTCATGCTAAGACACAAGATTGCCATCAGTCCCTCTAAAACATAATTATGTTGCAAATTCAAGAACAATTCAATTACTAATGGCTTCATGGTCCAGATGATGCAAAATCTTTAAAAAAACCTGTAGTAAAATATTCAATCGCCCGGAGATTAGCGTACCTCACCCATTTATCCTCAATGTCTCCGGTTGTTCTCCAGCTATTTCCTATACTTGTTGCCCAAGTTGCAGGATCATCTTGTCCCCTGTATGTTTTAAACTTGGTGAATATTAGCACCAGAGGTTTTGATATACTAATTTCCTCCCTTGCTTAAGAAGATATTCACTAACCATTCGCATAGAGAGAAAAATATGGGCCTCCCTGAGTCAAGTAAAGCTTTGCTCATCTTTGGGTACCTACCGACCAAAAATAAAAATGATTCATTAGCACAAGTGGAAAAGCCAGCCTGTTTCATCAGATCAACTACCTTTCCTTTGGGCTTATGCCAGTATTTCCACAGTTGTCATATTTCAAGTAATCAACTCCCTAGTGACACCAAAAAAAAAAAAAAACAGTTAAAAGCAATAATATAGCAAACTCTAAATCCAAAAATGAAATCAATGTAAGAAGAAAAAGCATACCCATGAGGAAAAGGTTTTTGCATCTTGTTCTTCATGTCCTAGGGACCCAGGCATGGTCTGGCTACAAGTTTGAGTCCTAACAGGATAAATAGAGCATAAAAATTCTTGACTCTTGAGGAAAGAGAAAAGCTTTCAGGAGAAATCATCGTGAGTCAAAGTATTCTTTTTTCTGACTTTTGATCCCTAATATTTAAACCTATAAGAAGTAATACCCTGCATCTGAGTAAATTCCAAGCTTAAGCCCTTTTCCATGAACATATCCTGCAAGAGCCTTAATGCCTGAAGGAAATGTTGAAGCTTTAGGAACCAAATTCCCCTAACAAAAACACAATATATTACACCTCCACGATCAAGCATTAGTGTTTAGTCATTGCAGTGATTTCCAAAAGAGCAGAGTTTGGAAAATGTTACCTGAGAATCCCTATTGAGTTCTCCCCAACAATCATCTAATTAATTGAACAAATATAAACGACATGAAGCGATGTTGGAAATCAAAATCAAATGTAATTCCAGATTAAGAATGCAATAACCACTGAAAATCAATTAATCATAGTCCATCACCTAAATTGATATAGGTGTATCCAACAGCAGCTAGACCACTTGAGACCATTGCATCAGCTGCATCACAGAATAATTCAGTAAGGAAATTCATTGTCATAATTTTCAGCACAGTAGATGCTTTATTTCATTTTCTAAGTGTATTATGAAACTCAAGACAAGGTCATTTTGTTGTAGTAGAGAACTATTTACCAGTTTCCTTGATCAATGTCTCGTTAATGTCACAATGGAAATGGTTCCAACTATTCCACCTGATCACAAAAGGAATAATGTTTACAGGAAGCTTATAGATAAAAGCGCATTTACAAGAACCTCAAACTTGAAAAAGACATAGCTCAATCGAAAGCTGGCAAAAAAGTATAATTTCTGTGAAACCTGGAAAACTAGCTTTAGTTTGATCATTACATGAATATTTTCTACTTCTTTAGCTAAGACATTTTTTCTTTTTATGTTTTTTTCACATGTAACAGTTAACTATGCTTGGTCAATTGCATAGAATTGATCCAGATCCAGTAATTTTATAAACAAATAAGATAACTAAAGATGAAAAGGATAAGAGGCATCGTACCCCATTTGGGGAGTTAAGCCAAGGCCATTATCCAAGAGATTCCTCCTAATCCTGGCCGAATCATTAAGCTCAATATTTCCTACTTGAGTTCCGTTCTCAATAGCAGAGTTGACCAACAACATTGACGATATAAACATAAAACTGAATATCCCAAAAAAAACTAAGAAACTGCCAGATGATGATGAAGGAGCCATAGGAGCTATTCCTATCCGCTTGTTGTTGAGAAGCAGAAGGCTAGCAGCTAGCAGGCAAAATATGTAGAGATCAAAACACAATATAATCCTTGTGTACTTGACAAACGCAAGACATATTTAAAGACAACCGCTGTGATAGAAACAACTTACTCTAATATTGCGTTGTTATCCTCTAGGCTTAGGCAAAGTATGGTATCTTCAAAAATAGTTTCCCTCTCTGATATGTATATATGACAGAGTTTGGCATGTCTATGTCGTAAATGAGGAGGAAAGTGAAGCTTCAAAGACATCCCATGATGCCATCTATAGGTAGGGTCTGATCTATATAAAATAAAAAAAAGAGGCCACTGATCAATTCAATGGCATGAACATCACTATAAGAATGTGTACATTAGGATTCTTCCATCATTGCAGTTAATATAGTGGGACTTGCCAATGGAGCCAGACAACGTGCCCACCATCAGTATATGCGAAGGTTTAATTTCTTCCATAATAGGTCAATCACAAGTCAATTGGAATGACAGCAATCACTAGTTACAAATTAAATAAAATAAGTTTAATCTAATCTATAATTAGTCCAATTACGCAAGCACTCACAGTTTATGCCTTACGGCAAGTTGGCAACTGAATTTCAACATTCCTGCTTGGAATTTTCCACCAAGTCTTTTGATTCAATGTTCACTTTTGTCCTTTTAAACGAGTAAATGGTGAATGATGGATCAATATTAGCAGTAAAGCGGACATTAGTTTCCTATCAGGTACGGGATCGTCTTTTTACTAGTCCGCAGAGAAATTTGATGGATGAATCATCCTCTCCAACCTTTTCTTATTAGGGGAAGGGAAGAAAATAAAAATGAAAATGAAAAATGGTTGGCACTTGAGAGAGTATGCAATTTATGTGAATGAGCCGGATTCCAGATTTTATGTAAGTAAAGCATCATCGTCCGAGGGATGGCGATAATTGATCAATTTGTCCTCTGGCGCTTGTCCGTGACTTTCCCTAGGCTGTCACATGACTCTTGATCTGTTTGCTTTCGCCTTGTCGTAACATGCTTCATTGTGTACGTGCATAACTTTTTTTTTTTTAATCTTTTTCTGTGATGTCTTTCTTACCAAAAAGGTTCACCCGTTTAAAGGGCTACTGGTGGGTGGTGCAGCACTTCAAGCAAGTTATACTTTATAGAAACATAATTGCAGAAACTCATGTTCATTCTGTGATCAAATGCCAGTGGCTCTTGGAGGGTAGTGTATAATTAACTAATAAAAATATTTTCTTCAATGTCTATATTTATAATTTTATCAGACCCAATCAAGCCTACCAATCTAAGCTCAAGTTGCTTTGGTGAATTATGAGCCAACCTCAAAGATAAGAAACTTAGATCAATTGAGCACTAATTGAGCCTCGAGTTTTGAAATCAAGAGAAGTTTGAGTCTAGCACCGGGCTTGACTACGCCCCTAATTGCAAAAATGGCAACTGAAATTAAGTTTATGAATGAAATTGAGTTTTGACAGTAAGTTAAATGGTCAGAAGTGTTTACTCCACTTCTTTCAAAATCCTCTCCAATTTATCTATAGTGATGCAATTTGGCTCTCATAAGGCAATTGTCTAACCAAAATTTTCGTAATCCATGCCATAAACAGCTATTTTCTAAAGTACCAATTGAGTTTCTCAGTAGGTTTTTTTAGAAAGAAAAATAATGCTACAATGACATTTAAAACAATGAGTATTATTCAATCTCAACCATTAGATTATTTCTACCAACTAAAAATGCCTGCCCAAATGTAAAACATTAAAAACATTTAATAACTAAGAGATCAATGGCACTTATGTATTCTGACACATTGATAGAAACTGGGTGATCCTCAGAAAAGGACATAAGCCAGAATGAACAACCGCCTAGAATCCAGCTGTTCAACTTAGAACAGATACAAATATAACAACATGAAAAGACAGCTAATATTTTTCAACAGAAGTAGGAAGATACAAGGGAAAAAAGATGAGCATCGAATCCCAATTGCCTAAACAATAAGGAGCCACAACATTGTGTACACACTAGTACAAGAAGCTACAATCGAGTGCTCCTATGAAATCCCCTATAAATCAAGAGTAAACAAATTAATATTCCGCACACAGAAGCATATGCAAATAAATTCTTTTTTTTTGGACAATATATTGAAATAAATTCAAATATCTGAAGAAGTAAATTTATCTTCTAATATCTATAATATTTATTATATATTAAATTTATCTGAAGAAGTAAATTTATCCCCAAAAGCAATATATTATATATATACAATATATATATTATAAACTTTTCATTTCCAACACTTGTCACATTGAAAAAATAAGCTATCATCCAACTATTTCCATGACTGAGACATGAACATTCAAATGAATAGCTTCTCCTGTATTTTGCATTCACACCATCTGATACCTCAACAAATGAAATGCATATACAAGAGTTAAAAGACATAACTGCAATTTACTTTGACTAAGAGGGAACTATTCCAGTTTTCCTTGCATACGCAAAGATTCCTCCTGCCTCAATGACTGGCCCTGCATCCCCAATGGGCTTTAATTTATACTGTTTGCCGGTGGTATGATTGATCAACCGACTCTCCACCAATTCAATTGTCACCACATCCCCAGTCCTACATTCCTCACATATTCTCACTTCTGATTCTAAAGGATAAACTTCCCCAGTTGCAACAGAATTCCTGAAAAATATTCCAGCATAAGATTCAGCCACCACTGCCTTTGCCCCTGCAGCACCAAGTGCAACAGGTGCATGCTCACGCGAGGACCCACAGCCAAAGTTAGCAACACCTATCACAATTGACTATTTTGTCTTAGTCTCATTTGGTTCAACAAAACGCTGGTCGTATGATGAAGGGAGGCCAACAAGAGCGTTTGAGCCCAAATTTTCATACTCGAACTAATGCTAGGTATTCTGCAGGATTTATTTGGTCTGTGTTAATATTATCCCCAACCACATAGCAGAGGCCATGGAAGGTTGTTGTTGAGGAGTCAGAAGAAATAGAGGAGGGTGTGGAGGTGGCATGTGCCACATAGGGGGTGAAGGTGGAAATGAGGGGTTTGACAGTCAAAGAAGAGGTGAGACTTTGACGGAGGGAGGAGAAAGGAGACGGGGAGACTGAGGGTTTTGATGCTGAGGAGGTAAAGGTGGCTGAGTATGAAGAGTGAAACAAAGTGGCAGCCATTATTAGAATGTTTGGTGTTAGTACAGTCTAATACAAGGACGGTGATGTGTTAGGTTTGTGCTGAGATTTGTGCTTGATGCCAACTTCAAATTTCACCACCTAACATAAAGCAATGATCTCTGATATGGAGTATTCTTTAAGTCAATAAGGTCATATAAAGAACCGAAAGCACAATCAGACAGTAAATTGAGAAATATTTCCCACAAATATATACCAATGTATACATAACAATAGATACAAATATATAAATACACATTAAATATCTGCCCACCCATGCAAATATTCAAAAAATTTCCCACGTGAAAACATAAATGGGGAGAATACTCTACCGAAATTGTAAACCACAATTTATTAGCATTTATTTATTTTTTTAGCTAAAAGAAACCCTCCACCAATCATTCCTAAAAATTACAAGACACTAAAACAGTGGTTCGCCCCAATCCTACTCCCCCTGCCTCTCTCTTGTGCCTAAAAGAGAAGTAAAGAAATAAGGTTACTAGTAAACGTTAAAAAAAAATTTTAACTTAAAGAAAAGGATCCTACCCCTTCCTTCAGTGTCAAATCTATATTTGCAACTTCAGTTTGATGATATGAAGAAATTGTGAAGGCAACTTCCCTCAAAGATAAATAGTGCACAAAATAATTAAATTCACTGCAAATTTCACGGAACTAAATATACTTCAAAAGTTCAATTATTATGTTGTTATCAACATCAGTCACTTCTTATATCCTAGAGCCACTTAAGAGTGGCTTCAACTAATGACTGGAAATTAACCTCATCCTAACCAAAAATTACAAGCAGTTCATCAGGTACAAATGGGTAAAGGAATATCAAGAAAAAAAACATGTTACAGGGTACCCTGGATCAAAGAGGAGATAACAGGCTAACCTAAAGATCCCTCGTTCAGGAGATTCCGACAAATCCAAAGACAGAGCATGAGAAACAGGAAATGGAAAAATGTTAAATCAGAATCACGAAACTTGTCTATAAAACCCAAATTCAATCAGACTATACTATCAGCTGATCCACACCCAAAATTCATGTTATATTAGCCAATTACTCAAACATTCCACTCCTTCAAATGACACTACCCAAAATTTAAAGATAAAACATAGTATTAACAAGACTTCAATGACATTATACCACCATAAAGAAGTACAAAAATAAAATAAAGAAAAGAGAGGGACAAAGAAGAGTAAAAGAAATACATTTGATCAGGAAATAATGTTCGCGGTAGCTTGACGGTGGATATGGATTCGGCAGTGAAGTCAGTAAATGGCGGCTCTAAAATATTGCAATCTTTTATTTCTCTTTTGAGTAAGTGGATACTTCGTCGTAGAAGGCAGTTCTAAACACCATCAGTACTTCTCTCTGCACCCTAAAATTTTTTTAGAAAATATCTATATAAAAAATATTAATTTTATTTTTTATAAATTATATATATTTTTGCACTTTAAGACTTTTAAAAATCTATTTTCAATAATTAAAAATATTTTTAAATATTTATTTTTGAAAAACTATTTTCAATTAGATTCGATCATTGTATTGTACAAGTTGGAGTAAGGTAAGGGTAAGGCACTTGAGATTGAGCCACATGTGAGATAGTTTGAGAAAATGCGGCCAATAGGAATGGTCAAGAATTTAAGAATCAAGTGGATTAGTGAATCCTAAGATTGAACCAATCATAAAACCTTGTGCTTAAAAGGGGATCAACGGATCTTTAGGCATTGAATGGGCTTTGAGTTGCCCTTTGAGTTATGCCAAGTAGAATTTAAGTTTCTTAAGATCAAAAATAGATGCTAGATTTTAATATGTAGAATCCTTATAAAGATATGGTTGCGTGCATAGTAGAGTTAAACTTAAGTAAAAGTAAGAGAGCATCATGATTGCATGTGGAATTAAGCCAAGATAGTGGAGCCTACTAGACTACTAAACATGACATTAAGTTCGAGATAATGAGCGTTAAGATGTTGCTATTATGGGCAGTTGACCAAAAGGCCACACTTAAAGAGATGACCTTGGAGGCATTAAAATGACCCAAATTATAAGATGACCAAAATGCTTGAATACTACCATACTAGGGTCGATTGTGAGTGGTGTCGCATGAATGCGATTGACTTAAGCACCACATTAGAGGGGCACATCGAAGAGTTGGTGTTGCAGGCGTGTGGTTGGTGTGATGGGTCATGTCCAACGGGATGCATCAATGTGTGGCAAAACATGTGGTCATTCACTCGGTTGAGGGTTATGATTGACAAGGGTACTTTGAGGTCGTAACTTTATGATTTGGGTTGAACCAGTGTAATGACACTTATCTAGCAACAAATTAAGATAGATGGTCAGATGTGGAAGTAGCTTAGAGGTGCAGTAAAGCAAGGACAAGTCCTTTTTACATTGGCAATGGTTAAGTACTCTAGGCGATGCTTCATGTAATGAGATCATGACCCAATCTTTGCATGCACAAATGAGGGACATATGAAAAAATGTCAATTGTGTGCAACAAATGAGTTAAGTGTGGTCTTACCATCGATGAAAACATAGATATAGTAAGTGAAAAAGGATGTCATGGTCAGGCCTTGATGTGCCTTGATCCTATCATGATTGATCTTAAACTGAGCAACAGACGAGGCCTCATAATCAGGACAATGGTCCTAAAGTAGTGTGCAGGTAGTATGAGCCCTAGTCCCAATATGTACGGGTAAGTGCGGGCTAGTGTGCTGGTGCTTTGGAGCCTAGTAGTTTGTCGGGTGCTCTCTGTTAAAGTTGTGTGTGGATACTTTCAAGTGGGTTGCATCGAGTAGAGTTATAGTATTATTAGGGCCAAAAGGTAGGTCATTGGGCCTTAGGTTGGTTGGGTGAAAAAAGTGTCCCTATTTCAGACATTGTTATGGTTTTTCGTAGCATAACTATGAAAGCTCCTATGCTCTATATAAAAGTGTGTCTAATGTTAGCTTTCCACTATCCCCTTAGTTAGCTCGATAGGTAAAAACCTAGTTAGTCTAAAGTAAACTATTCTTAGATACACATGATGTCTAGGCGGGCAAGTATCATCGGGTCACAAGTGTAACACACACGATGACTCCTCAAATCATGGTAAAATTGAAGACAGTTAGGGCTTACGAGCCTTGTATAGGTATTTTTATTAAATCATGGGGTTAGATGATAATGTTTGTTATGCCTTTCAATTTCCCCTTATTGAGACAGATTGATAAATAACCAAGGATTTTGAGATGATACTTGTGTAGTAAGGGCACCATCAAGCTTGAAAAATGAGCAGGCTCATAAGTATGTAAGTTATTAGACCTTTATGGCTACTCGGTAGCATGGGCGAAGTGGGCTACATCTAGCACAGCACATTCAAGTAACTTAAAAAGAGAAATAATCATGATATTAGGTGTCCATCATATGTGTGGACGGCCTAAAGTAAGACTACAGGGTGAAACCTTAAGATATGAACTTTATGAAAACGAGATGAGCTTAGAATGGCTTCAAGCTGGCATTTAACCAACATTTGTATTGTGCCTCAAAGTTTTAAGCACGAGAGCTTGCAAATGATCTATGTGGGGATTATGTTGGATTCTTACCATGCTAGATGGAGATATTATTACGAGAACTGGGGTTGAACGCCCTTATGTGAATTCAAGGAAGGTTGGTGCATGAGGCCTTGGTGCTTATGTGTACGGAAAGGTGCTCGAGGCTGCCTTGAAACTTGTGGGCTTAGGATATGATGGGAGTTGGATTCTTCATTTGATGAGCTTGGAAATGTTGTAAGAGATCTTACGAGGTTGAAACCAAAAAGGGCTTATGTGAATACGGCTTAATGGATTGATAAAAAGTTGTTCATGAGAAAATAGATTCGTGAAAAGCTAACCTAGACTATAAGTAATTTCAAAAACTATGATTTAGGGGTTGGTTTAATGATTTAAGGGTTAATTCTGAAGTTTAGGTTTTAGAATTAAGAAAAGAGTTAAAATGTATGAAATGGAATATAACATTGTTAGATAATAAGCATTTAAAAGAAATAGAGATAATTATTTTGAAAGTGAAATGTATTTAGTAATAATATATAAAAAGAAATTTTATGAACGTATTTAAAACTCCTAGTAGTAAAAACTAGTTCTACACAAATTGGGCTAAAATAGAGAAAGAAAAATATTCGGAAAAAAAGGATTAAAAGGGCAATGCATGCATGCATGATGGAGATCCAGCCCATTGGGCCATGTAAAACATTGATTGTGAACAGAGATCCAGTCCATTCCCAAGGTCAAACAACGGAAGGGCGATTACGTTGCCTTGCGAAGAAGATGCAGATAGAGGATTGAGATGGCCCACAAACCCATCTCTAATTTGTAGACCTTCCTTCCGGTCTTCGGTCCTTTGCCTCTTCCAGTTAGCCTCCTCTCCTACTGTGTATTTCTTGTCAATGTGGGTTTTCGATTCTCTATTTATCTTTCTTTTTTTTTTTTTCATTTTTCTTCACCCGATCTCTCTTAATAAAAAAAAAAAAAAGACTACCCTCGAATCAAGGTTTCAATCATCTTCTAATTTCTCATAATTTGTTTCTTTTAAATACGAATTTCTAACACTTTTGTGTTTTTCAATCGTTGAATTCAGCTGTTCTTCAATGGCTTCCAATTTGCAGAAGGATTCCACTGCGTCCGGTGAGCTTAATCTCATATTCCCTTTTTTTTTTTTTCTGTTAAATTGGGATTAGAATTTGTTCTGAGTCTATCTGAGCTCCGTCTCCTTATTTCTTAATCGGCAGTTAAATTAATTGATCTGGTTTTGAATTAAAAAAAAGTTACCTTTCCTCGTTAATGTCAATAATGCATTGTGATTGTATTATTCCTTTTCAGTCCTAAGTTTAGGTCTTGTAATTGTATTAGGAATTTTTGTTTGCTAGGGATTGGCTAATTTCGATTTCTTGGGGGTTAATGTTGATGAATCCCGATATGGCATGGTTTGGAACTTAGTAAATTGATAAGTGGGTTGTTTTTTTTTATGTCTCTCTTGTTTTTGTTAGATGAGAAATCGACTTTGACATCGGAGAGTAAAAGTCCGAAACCAGAAGCATCCACCAATGAGAATAAAACTTCGAAACCAGAAGCTTCCACTGGGGAGTCAAAACAAGCACGGGCTGGAGCTTCCCCTGCCCCTGTGGGACCAGGGTTTGTCCCACACAATCCATTTGATTTCTCGGCCATGAGTAGCTTTCTTGAGGTAAGCTTCTCTCTTTTTCATTTTAATTATTCTTTGGATTATTGTGAATTGTTTCTTTGAATGAAAATATCCAATAGTGTTTATGTTATTCTTGTGATCATCATTTGATGATCATAGCTCATCTTTTGCTATGTGTCACTGCTAATGGTGCAGTACCAGAACATCTTAAGGTTTATTGTTAACCTCATGGATTGATTGTTTTAGCAGTGTACTTAATGGCTGGGAACTGACATAATAGAACAGTGTCCACTTATAATTTTGGGAGCTTGGATGAAGCTTGTAAATTAGTTTGTAGTTCCACGTATACAAGGTATATTAAATTTTGTTGGATCTGACTTTGTGGGGCTCAATGCAACATACCCAGAATGGGATTTCAAGTAGAGGTGGCATATAGCAGGTTCGGATTGGGTCATTTCTGGTTCGAGTCTTCTGGCTTGAGTCATTTCAGGTCATTTCAGATTCTGGTTGTTTACGGGCCAGCTTTTCTCTAGTTTGAGCCAGGTTCGGGTTAGAATAAAATTGGTAATTAAATTTAATGAAAAAGTTGTTAATTTTGATTTTTAGTATTAAGTCCGGATTATTATGTGTTTGGGTCAGATCAGTCTTGAGTTCATTTTTGATTGTTTGACATTTTTGTCAATTCGGGACCGGATAAGTTCTGAAGTTTGTTATTCTTGTGACTGATTTGGGTTTGAGATTAATCTCATATTTCATTTACCCAATTAGGTGCCCTAACAGCTTTTCTTTAAGTCTCAACACATTTTACTTTTATGGGTTATGGATGTTAACCATCTCGGTTTGGTAGGATCCAAGCATCAAGATGCTAGCTGAGCAGATAGCAAAAGATCCTTCATTTAACCAAATGGCAGAGCAGCTCACTAAAACGTTTCAAGGGGCAGCGGCTGAAGAGTGTATACCGCAGTTTGATGCTCAGCAATACCATTCAACTATGCAACAGGTTATGCAGAATCCCCAGTTTATGACCATGGCTGACCGCCTTGGTAATGCATTAATGCAGGTATATGTGGGCTCAGTTGCCAGTTTAAGCAGATTCATGACTCTATCAGTCTTTTACCCTTGTATTACATTACATGGAATTTCTTCTGGTGGATGAAATTTTAGTTTTTTTCTTTTTTAGGATCCAGCTATGTCTAGCATGCTTGACAGTTTGACTAATCCTCAACACAAAGATCAGATTGAGGAAAGGATGTCACGAATCAAAGAAGATCCATCATTGAAACATATTCTAGAAGAAATAGAGACTGGTGGACCCGCAGCAATGATGAGGTGGTTGAAATCATAATATCATAAGCTTGTGGGCATAACATTTTCTTCTTTAGAATGTGTGTAGGATCTGTGCATTTAACTATTTCTTCACTAAATTAATAATGAAAAGGTTTCTGGTCTAGGTACTGGAATGATAAAGAGGTTCTGCAGAAGTTGGGTGAAGCAATGGGTCTTGCAGTTTCAGGAGATGTGGCCACTTTTGCTGGTAACTCTGTGGCTGATGAAGGTGATGAAGTAGGAAATGAGGATGAGTCAATTGTACATAATTGTGCTAGTGTTGGTGATGTTGAGGTATGACAGAGTAAATGTTTTGTACAGGTAGTCTTCCCTTTTGACAGATAACCTAAAATGTCTCCACTGTATTCATGATTTAGGGTCTGAAAACTGCACTAGCCTCTGGTGCTGACAAGGATGAAGAAGATTCAGAGGGAAGGACAGCATTACATTTTGCATGTGGATATGGCGAGGTATAATAATTTTATAACTGAATCTCACTTCCCTTCTCTCTCTCTCTCTCTCGCTCTCTCTACTGTTGCATTACCCAACAAATCAAGCAGTTTCATCTGGCAAGGAGAAATTTCAGTGGATAATCAGATAGTTTTAATCATTAGTTGTCTACATGTGTGCAATACCAGTCTCTAATGCTTGTTCTCCTTTATGTTATAAATAATAACCTCAATTCTTAATGCACTAAGGACCTTTTAATAGCCTCATTGAGTTTCAGTTTTAGGACAGACAAATATGGAACCAGAATTTTGATGAGCTACCTAATAGATTTGTTAAAAGCTGTTTGGGGTAGATTGGATCCTTGAAGCATTCTTTTGCTTGTAGCATCTCATCTTGGGATCCTTGTGGTGGGTAATAGGTTTATATCACTACTACACATCTAGATATAAATCAATGAGGCTTTGCTTATTATTTTTATTAGTGTATCATGGAATCTGTAGGCTACTAAGCTATGCTTGCTTCTTGCTTGTACTTATTGCCACCTAGCGGGCATATCCATTCCAACTTTGCTATGTGCAATGACAATCTTTTTAATAAATGATAGATTTATTTACTTTTGAGAGACATTGATTGAACTAAATTGCGACAAGGAAGTGCATAACGAGAGAAGAAAAAAACTATGGATAGTCTAGCAGTTATATGAGTTTGTAGGAGATTAGATTATTGGGTTCATGGACTAATTTTAGGTTATGTTTCTTAGGTTTTGGAAATTTTCATGCAAGGGGATGTGTTTAATGTGATATTTATGGTCTGGGGGGTAAAGCTGATACACTTTTGATTTTATTTTAGGTGAAATGCGCTCAAATCCTTCTTGAAGATGGAGCAACAGTGGATGCATTGGACAAGAATAAGAATACTGCACTTCATTATGCAGCTGGTTATGGAAGGAAAGACTGTGTGGCCCTTCTTCTGGAGAATGGCGCTGCTGTGTAAGCAAACAAATTGTCGGTTAACCATTGATGCTGACCTCTTTTGGGTACTAACGTTTTTTGTACTGTAATTACTTCTGTCTTACTGCAGCACTCTCCAAAACATGGATGGCAAGACTCCCATTGATGTTGCCAAGCTCAACAATCAGCATGAGGTACTAAAGTTGCTCGAGAAGGATGCCTTCCTGTGAGTTGGGAGGGGACAATGGCATGTGTATGTCTGAGTCTAGCATGTTATAGGCATTTTATTGTGCTATTAGACAAATTTGCTTTGATCAGTATGGGTTTGTGATCACAGACGGATGTGTTGTATATGCTGTCTTTGCTGCTCTCAGGTTGCTACATTTAGAAATTTTTTATAAAATTAGTGTTTTAATTTATTTTCTGAAATAGTTTGTAGTCTACGAGGGGAACGGACCATGTGGACCACACCGCAATGTTCATTTTAACTGAGGGTGAGGGAGGATCAACTGCCAATTACACTTGTACTTTGTGAAAGCTTTTGCCCCGGCGCAGACCCAAGTTTTCTTTTTATTGTGCTAAATTTATGGGTTTTCTAAAATTTAGAGGCGATCTTATGAGTAATGAGTTCCACTATCAAATCCAAGGCTTGATTTCTTTATTTTTTCAGATCTGTAATGATAATATTGTATAATACCAATTTAACAATGGACTGTTCATTTGAGGAATAGGGCAAGAAATTCGAATAATAATGAAAATAAACCGAGAAAAGTTACTAACGGGAAGGTATCTTTCTGGCAGTTATGATTAGAAATCTGTAATCACAAAATCATCAGTTAAATTCAATGCACCGACAAAAAGAGAGCCTCTTTTCTCGCTTTTCCCTTAATCAGTAATCACCCATTCCTTACTAGCAATGGAAACATTGAGTGTTAAGATTAGTCACTGTTTCGACATTAACTGTATAACCCACCGACCGACATGTTCCAGTCATTTGCGCGTATGTATGCGAGGGGGGAGCAAGCGCCTACGAATTTGTACCTCAAAGAGAAGGGTCTGGGGTGAAATCTTGTAGTATAATGAAATAATAAACTATTGCTTTTGTTAATCAAAGTAAAGGAAAGGTCATTGGTAGGCGTTCAACTTTGGATCATTTTTTTGCGTGTTGAATGAAGTGCGTATCAAGTCACGAGTGGGGATTTGTGAACATGTGCTAATTTGTGCCTAAATGGCAATGGCGTGTGAACATGCGCGAGTAACACGTTGATTGCTGACTGCTGGGGGGGGGGGGGGTGAACAGAAAAAGAATATTAAAGTTGAAAACCATTTGAAAAAGAACAGTCCATCCAATGATTTCGGTCTCTTTTACTTTTCTTTAATTTATCAACCGGGATTTGAACCCGTCGCTGGCTGCCATTAATTCTGTGGCTGCCTGGCTGGACTTGGACTTATACTTGCCCCCCTTCCCTCTATTATTTCCACGGTTGTTATTAGGAGTAAACGCATATTCGGTATTCAACTATATTATTTCTATCACTTTAGTACTTAAAAATTAAAATTTTATGATTAAATATCTAAAAAGAATTGTCTTATGGACTTAGGGGTGAGTTTAAGTTGGTCCAACGCATTTAATCAGTCAAAATTAATTGAATTTAATTAACTTCATTCGATTAGTTCGATTTTAATAATTGTTGGTTAAATAAATTGATTTAATCAATTAAATTGATTGGTTTTTTATTTTTAAATTAATAATTGAAGCAACTAAATTAATCAACTTTTAAAATAAAAATTTAAATATATTATATAAATATATAAAAAATATATTTATTTATATTTTTAAGAATGATAAATACGACATTTATTACGTAAAAGTTGTTACAAGATTATTATTCACAATTGATGATAAAAGAATAATAAAAATTTGGTCTTTCAACATAACCAATTGACTTTATATTGGTTCGATTATTAAAAATAAACCGATCAATTCAATTATTTTTTAAAAAATATCAATTAAATTAATTTTTGATTTTTGAAAACTGAATCGCTCAATTATGCACCCTTAAATGGACTAATACCATTAAAGTTAAACTAGCATGGTTTATTTGATCAATAATAAAGTGATAGTTTTCATGAAAATTTAGGTCACATAATTTGTCAAAGCCACATTATATGTGAATTTATTGTCATATTAGTGAAAATTGGGGAGTGTAAATAATTGGCGCTTTCGATGAATTATTTGTAAATAGATTTGATTTTTATTTATTTATTAAGTTTAATAAATAATATTGAATAATATTTTTATATTAGTTGATTAAATAAATCGAATATAAAAATAAGTTTATTTTATTCATTTATGTTCAAAAATAAATTCATTTAAGTTTTGTTCAAAACTCGGTCATTTATATTTATTTATTGTTAGTTTATTCTTAATTTTATAATTATATGTTTATTTATTTAAATTTATTTGACTATAATTTATTTATTATTCATGAATATATTTGTTTATATATATATATATTCATAAATATATTCATTTAATATTTATGAATAAATTTATTTAATTTAAACGAGTTGAACATAAACTGAACGTGAATATTATTCTATTTAAATTAATCAAGCTCAAACCTAATAAAAAATTTTCTTATCAAACACGAACAATTGTAAAAAGAAATAAATAAACTATGCTCATACGTTCGTTTGTCCATTTATATTTGATTCGTTTATATCTTATAAAAATTTAAAAATTTTGTTTCTTGATTATTTTAAAATAAAATTTTTTAAAAATTAAAATCTTAAAAAATGAAAATTAACAAAAAAAAAGTTGATAAGGATAAAAGAGAGAAGAAAAAGGCGAATCAAGAGTTTAACTCCCTTAATTCATATAATTATCTTTAAAATTGACATATAATAAATTTAGAACTTAAAATTTAAAATTTTCATTTTTTTTCTGTAGATAATATCATTCATAACAATAAAAGGAAAAAAAAAAAAAAAGAAGAATGAGGATAACAAACCACCTTCTTCTAAGTCCTGAGTTAAATTAGCATTTGCAATCACTTTTTATATTTTATTTTTTTAATTTCAAATTTTTAAAATTTTTATTTTCAAAATTTTAATTTTATAATTGAAAATTGAAATTTTTTTTTAAAATTTTTAGCCACAACTTGCACTCACATGATAAATGACATGAAATTTTCTTGTCACGTAAACACTTATTAGTTATTAGTGAACAGTAAAAGTCACTCTTGTTAAGTGTGTTAATTTGTAAATAATTATAAATTCAGGTACTTATTTATAAATTTTTATTTTTTAAATATTAAATTGATAAAAATGGTATATTCAAATACAAATATGTATTTGAACTCTTCTTAGGGTTTATTATTATTGTTGTATGTTATAGATTCTTCTTTTTTCTTATAATCTGGCCTGAGTAAGCATCTGTGGGGGCACAACAGGGGAGTGCTCGGTGGAGTTTCAGATCCTTCTTGGAGTCCAACCGAGCGCCAATAACAATTTGAATTGAGACATGGAGACAGAGAAGAAACAGTCATCAGCCGTATCTGATATGGGAGCTTGGGCTATGAACGTTATCAGCTCTGTTGGCCTTATCATGGCCAACAAGCAACTCATGTCCCCTAGCGGTTATGCCTTCGTCTTTGGTCAGTTGCTTTTGTTCAACTTTTTCTAATTTTTCTACCTATTTGTTTCTACATTCTTAAGTTCTTCCTTCGTTTATCTTAGATCTGGAAACTTTTACCTCAATCTCCCTTCTTTGTTTTCTAATCTTTGGCAGATCCCATGAATGTTATATCATTATCTTCACTGAATTTCTCGAAAGTTTGATTTGCTGATTCTTATCTCTTGGATTCTTACGCCTAAATGAGATTCTGGGAAAAATGGATTTTTGAAATGCAATTACTTTTGATAGGCTCCATTGATCTTTTTTTTTTTTTTCCTTTAATCTTCTTTCGTTTTTCAGCGTCGGCTTTGCTTTAACTTGGACCATGAATTCTGGAACTCTAAATGCAGATCTTATCCGCATTTAAGGGAGCTAAAAGTCCATCTTTACTCAAAACAAAAAACAGAGAGGATGGTGGCTGTCTATGCCAACCTTTTGGGCACATCTCCTCTCCAGATTGAGATGCCACCCAATCTGCCTTCTTGTATGCTTTCCCTCTTATCTAACTAAACCTCTTTTTTTCAGCAATTGTGTAAGATCCTGGATGAAAGGCTTTATCAGGCTAGAAAACAAAACAATTTCTCTGTGTCAGTTTCAGAGATAACCTTCTGGAATTTTTTTGTAGCAACAGCTTTACAACTTCACCTCTTGACCCCGTTTCCATCTATGAACTCTCTCTCTGGTTGTTTGTTGCGAATGCCCCACAACCATACCTTCCTTGATTCTTGGCATAAAGCACCATTCTTCAGCTGGACAATTCTACACCTCTGGAACCCCTTGATTCCGTTTGATCCCGTTTCACTGCCTACATCTGAATTATATTGTGCACCTTTTCTTTCTCTATTTTTAAACCATAACTGCCTTCCATCCACATGTCCCAGTCCACTACATGTTAGGAGCATGTGCTCAACTGTTTCTTCTTCCTGCTGACAAAACCTAACAAGTAGGATTATCATTTATCTGTACACTTTGTTTTCCATATATTGCTCTTTGTGGGAATAACATCTGTACAAACTCTCCAAAGAAATACCTTGATCTTGATAGGCACCTTCATACTCCAAATCTCTTTCCATACTCAGCTGCTAATTATACTGTAACTAGTAGGTTGTTGTTAACCTGCTCAATCTCCTTCCACATGACTGTGTCTCCAGATCTTACTATGTATAATCCGTCTTCAGTATGAGGCCACACCATTTCAACAGAACCACTTTGCTGACTGATAGAAATCTGTAGTATTGCTTCCTTTGCTTCAATAATAGGACACTCCCATGTTTAAAGCAGTATGTTTTTCTGTAACTCTTGGACAACCTAGTCTATGCTTCTGCTTGAAATCTTCTTTGAGTTTTGTCCGTTAACTTCAAAAGTTTTGATGGAATGTTGAGTTGAGATGACTATTGATTTTCCAGAATCTTAATGATATTTTTGTATTCAACCTGAAAGTTCAAATTAATCTCTGAAAATGAAATTAATATATACTTCATCCAAATTTATCAAATCTGAGGAAGGAACTACATATATATATATATATATATATATATATATATACACGTATATATATATTTTGCTGATATTGTAATTTTTTAACACTTCATAGTAGTTTGGCCATCTGAACTGGTATTGTCAACTGTTAGCCAGTGGTCAGACTGGAAGGCAGTAGATTTAAGTCCTTTCTGTGTGTGTGTGTGTGTGTAAATCTAAGAACATTTCCTGCTTTTACAGCAACAACGTTAACTGGGTTCCACTTTTGTACGACTGCCTTAATTGGTTTGGTGTCAAATGCCACTGGTTACACAACAAAAAAACATGTTCCATTGTGGGAGCTTCTTTGGTTCTCAATTGTTGCCAATACTTCAATCACCGGGATGAACTTAAGCCTCATGTTGAATTCAGTTGGATTTTATCAGGTAAATGACTTTTAATAAATGCTATAGCAAAAAAGAAAAAAAAAGTAAATAGTACCATGTTTCTTTACTATTTGCATAATGAATATTCCAGCTATGATCTTCATCATTGTCATTATGATTTAGATTTCAAAGATAATCCTCATTTTAATCATTATAATGCAGATTTCAAAGCTAAGTATGATTCCAGTTGTTTGTGTAATGGAATGGATCCTCCACAATAAACAATACTCAAGCAAAGTCAAGATTGCAGTCATTGTGGTGGTTGTTGGTGTGGGTGTTTGTACAGTTACTGATGTAAAAGTTAACGCACAAGGATTTCTTTGCGCCTGTATAGCTGTCCTCTCTACCTCCTTACAACAAATTGTAAGCATTCTCATTCTACATTTCTTTGTTCTGCTTGAAAGCATTTCTCATTTACCCGTTCAATCACCTTATGATTAAAGTTTTAATAATCACCCTCTGATTCTTTTTGCCCTATTGATCATCCATATTTGTGGGAACAGTCAATTGGCTCCTTACAGAAGAAGTACTCAATAGGCTCTTTTGAATTGCTTAGTCAAACAGCTCCAATCCAAGCTCTATCTCTTTTGTTGCTTGGTCCATTCATTGACTACTTCCTCACTGGCAAATTACTGGCAAGTTATAAGTTTTCCTCAGCTGCATTTGTAAGTACTTCTTGTCTCTTGAAAATAAGGCATCCATTTTCACACATTTATATATATACTATATGGTACTAGGAGTCTAAGAACAAGGAAAATACTAATGTGGCTATGAAATGGGTGTTTGGGAAAAATGTGCAGTTTTTCATACTACTGTCATGCTCCTTAGCAGTATTCTGCAATATAAGCCAGTATCTGTGCATCGGACGATTCTCAGCCGTCTCTTTCCAGGTTCTAGGCCACATGAAAACAGTTTGTGTTTTGACATTGGGATGGCTACTCTTTGATTCAGAGCTGACACTGAAAAATATACTTGGGATGGCCATTGCTGTCCTTGGCATGGTAGTATACAGTTGGGCAGTTGAGGCTGACAAGAAAACTGATTCCAAGGTTATACCGTTACCATACCGGAAAGATTCTTCTTCTTCAGAAGATATTAAACTATTGATGCAGCAAGTTAACGGGTCTACTCCACTCGAGGATGTTGAGCTTGGCAAATCTCAAGGATAGATTTGTATATTTTGCCAAAAAAATTGATTTGGTTCCGTATTTTTAGCACTGGGTTACCCGGTTGTACAAAATGTTCGATTTATTGTGTTACTAAAATTTTTTCCATATGTTTTTGATTTTTCATTGTAGTAAATTCATTCTGGGATAAGATATTTTATGATTTTTTACTTGTTGCCTCAACATTTTTCTCGCAACTATTTATTTCATATTAACATGATGATAATTTATTAAGTTAATCTAATTTTCAATTCACCTATAATTTATTCCATAATTTTATTTACAAGGGTTGAAAGGCAAGGATCAATTGTTTCCCGATAGTAAATAAAAATTATAAATATATGTGAAGTACCTTGATCGGCTTTAGCCTATAACGTAACTGCATAACAAACAAATGGAGTCCAAGAATGAAGCCCAAAATTTAAAACCGTTCACTAGCGGATGAGTTTGGTTGATATTTTTATTTTATTGTTATTTTTTATTTTTCTATTAAAAATAAATATTTAAAGTATCAATCAAATAAATTTTAATAATTTATATTTTATTATATACGTATTTATATAAGCATGAATTTTGAAATTTGTAGGTGAAAATATAATTTTTGTATCTCTAAATATAATTTTAAAACCTTCAGAATTCAAATTAAAAAAGTATTCTAAAATTTAAAGGATAAATTAGGAATATCATTTAGTAAAAAACTTTATAAATTTACATAGAAAAATATGTTTAAAAAACATGCAAAATAAAATAAAATAAAAACATAAAAAATATATAAAATAATTTTAAATATATATTTTAAAATTATGCTTAAATGGGTAACCAAAACATGAGTTTAATATTTAAAAATGTTTAGTTCACATAGAATTATTCATTAATCGAGTCGGGTCAGATTTAGATCAGGTTTATATTTAATATTAATAATTTATATGTTTATTTAAAATTGGTCCAATTCAAAATTTTGAGTTTCAAAATTTTTTCAAATTCTATTAAAATTAAAAAAAATAAATTCTAATATCATCTATTAAACTTAATTTATATAATAAAAATTTTAAAAAATATGATTAAAATAAGTTTTATAGGATTATATTAAATTCATTTTTATACAAATTGAAAACAAAAATTATATATATAAATTAAAAAATAAGATTATATAAAAATAAAAATTAAGTTTAATAAAATATATAATTTTTAATTTTAATTTATATGTATGTGAAGTAATTTATATGTAATTCACGAATATATAAAAATAAAAAAATTATATATAGGAATTCGGATCTAGTTGGCTCGAACTAGAGTTTTATATTTTTTGTTTAATGTGTGATAAAAAATTTAAACGGACTTAAAAATTATATCCAAACTCATTTAATATGATTTAATTTTTTTAAAATTTGAATAAATAATCCAATTTTTGAATAGATCTAGATTGATTTTAATTTGGGCTGATCTATGAAATAGAATTATTATATTATACTAATTACTTATGTAAGGTTTAAAATTCATTTGAAGTTTTTTTTATATCAAAAATTGGATTTATGAACTAATCTAATTTAATTGTAATGTTGTGATAAAAATAATTATAGTAAAATACAAAATAAGAAAAAATTACCATAAATCTTGTAAGGTTGCCTTAGGAGACTTTGAAGAGACAGAACAAAATATACACAACCAGTCACCAGTCGTATAGTCACTTATGAACTTGGTAGTTACCGATTAACTAAACTATTTTAAAGTAGTTGTTATAAGTCATCAAAGTTACGCATTTGGATGAGTGAAGAATATGGATTGCGCGCTTCGTTTGCCCACGTCACTACTTCTTTCTCCTCTTCCCTTCTCCTCCCCGTTCCCACTCTGCAAAACCCCGCCTTTTCCTTTCAAGAACAACCGCTTCCCTGTCTCCTCCTTTTCCATCACCATTTCCAATCAAAATCGACGCTCCAGATTCATACCTGCTGCCTTACCCGACTCCGCGGACAAGCAAACCCTCGTGGGCCTCCCCGCCGAAGATGCTGCGGGCGACGAGAATAATTTCGACAATTCCCGGGTGATTATATCGGCTTGCTTGGTCGGCGTCTTTACGGGAATCGGCGTTGTTTTATTCAACAACGGCGTGCGTGAGATTCGCGACTTTTTCTGGGACGGGATTCCTTATAGAGGTGCTTCCTGGTTACGAGAGGAGCCCCTCGACTCGGTTTGGACACGTGTCATTTTAGTGCCTGCATGCGGCGGTTTAATCGTTAGTGTCTTGAACGCTGCTAGAGACGCCGTTTCGGAAGCTAGTTATAATGCCAAAAGTGCGTTGGGTTCTTTTTTGAAAGCGGTTGCGGCTTGTGTCACTCTGGGGACTGGTAATTCCTTAGGACCCGAAGGTCCAAGCGTCGAGATTGGTTCGTCCATTGCTAAAGAAATTCATTCTCTTTTGGACAAAAATCCTCAAACCAAGCTCTCTCTTTTGGCTGCTGGCTCAGCTGCTGGAATCTCTTCCGGTTCGTTTTCTTTACTTTTGCCAGTTGAATTTTAAACAGTAATTTGTTGGAATTGAATCTCTTTAATTAAGTTACTTTGTTCTGTATGTATCTTCAGGTTTCAACGCGGCCGTTGCGGGTTGCTTTTTCGCTGTTGAGTCAGTTTTATGGCCATCATCGCCAGCGGATTCATCAGTGTCTCTTACTAACACAACTTCAATGGTTATTCTTAGCGCAGTTATAGCTTCCGTGATCTCTGAAGTTGGTCTTGGTTTTGAACCTGCCTTTAAGGTTCCTGAGTATGATTTCCGGTCCCCTGGTGGTAAATTTCATAAATTCTCTTCCTCTTTTGAAACTATCAAACCTTTGTTTCTTTCATGTTTCTCATGCTAATTGGATAAAGACTCTTTTTTTACCATTTCTTTTCAGAACTTCCACTTTATCTATTGCTGGGTATACTTTGTGGCTTGGTTTCGTTGACGTTTTCCAAATTGACATCTTACTTATTGGGTGCTGTGGACGATCTTAACAAGGATGTTGGGATACCAAAGCCTATGTTTCCTGTAGTTGGGGGACTAACCGTTGGTGTAATAGCCTTGGCATATCCTGAAATTCTATACTGGGGTTTCGAGAATGTAGACATTTTGATAGAATCTCGGCCATTCGTGAAAGGTCTTTCGGGTGATCTCTTGTTTCAGCTGGTGGCAGTCAAGATTATTGCAACCTCTTTGTGCCGGGCCTTTGGGTTAGTAGGAGGGTATTATGCTCCATCACTTTTTATTGGTGCAGCAACTGGGATGGCATATGGGAAATTCATCAGTTTTGCAATTGCTCAGTCTAATCCAGCCATTCACCTTTCCATCTTAGAAGTGGCATCACCACAAGCATATGGCCTGGTAATTTCTGTAAATTGTGGTTAGATGTATTTCTATTTGTAAATGCATATATCAAATTGAAACTGAGAAGTTGTCTATGAAGGAGATTATCATGTTGTGGGTCGGGCTTTTGTTATTCATTTATATATTTGACTCAGAACATGCATATCATTAGGGGTTCTTTAATTTTTTCAAAAATAAGTTTACTAAGAAAATTTCCTATAGCTCAGACTGAGGATGTAGAAAATAGTACCAAAAGCCAGACTAAGGAAAATGAGTGGGGTGAACATGGAAATTTGTCATCATGTCTGTACTGAATGTAAGATGCAAAAGGTGAAAAATGAAACCTCAGGGAGGATAAGCTGGGGTTTAGTACATCAGAGGATGCTTAGGAAAGCCATCAATACTTGAGGTACTTCTGATAGATGATGGTATTGTGCATCTTTGGATGCAAACTATGAGATATACATTCTGCGGAAGTTTTCAAAATTGTTTAATTTTTAAATCAAGTTGAGAATGATTCTCTGCAATTATTAGAAGATGTTTAAATTGAGATGAATTGCAGATAATGGAATGAAAAATTGCAAAACGAGTACTTTTCCTAGAAATTTTAGGATCTGGAGATTATGTTCACCAATCTCGTACATCAGAATAAAATAATAAATCATGATGTGGTTGAGCATTATGAAGCTCCTTTGCAGGTTGGCATGGCTGCAACCCTTGCAGGGGTCTGTCAGGTACCTCTTACTGCAGTTCTGCTTCTTTTTGAGTTGACACAGGATTATCGGATAGTTTTACCTTTACTAGCAGCTGTTGGACTTTCTTCATGGGTTACATCTGGCAAGATGACAAGAAAGGCTGTGAAGGGGACCAAAGCACTCCAAGATGGAAACAGTCGTACGAATCAACAGCCTGAAGCATCAGATAATACAAATGGTCTATCTTCTACTGATACACCACCTGATAAGGCACCTTATTTCAATAACCTTTGTGAATTTGAAAGTTCACTCTGCATTGATGATTCCAGTATTAGAACCAAGGATTTAGAGAAGAGAATTTTTGTTTCAGAAGCCATGAGGACAAGATATGTGACAGTTATGATAAGTACTTTACTTACTGAAGCAGTGAATCTTATGCTTGCGGAAAAGCAGTCTTGTGCAATCATTGTTGACAATGACAACCTTTTACTGGGTTTATTGACACTTACAGATATTCACGAGTTCAGCAAATTTGCAAAAGACAAAAGCTTAGACTCCAAGGTATGGTGCAATCATTACTTTAAAGTTTAAACTATTAATTATAATTGCAGCATACGGTTTATAGATTTTGCTGGTTCAAGTTTTTTTGAATCAAATGCTTTAACCACTTATGCATGTTGCACATTATGGAAGGGGGGAAAATGGAAAAACACATAAAGATTTACTCAGTTGCTAGGATCTCGTGGAAATTAAGGGTGGAGGAAGTGATGGAAATTCAGAAGGATGTCTCCTATCACGAAAAATACTTAACTAGTGCCCATTGCAACTTAAAATAGATTAAAATAAACTTCAATATAGGATTTTGTCTTTACGGTCATTCTTTTTTTGGGGCACAATAGTAAAGTTGGAAGGGTAATCTACATCTCTACTCAGACTACCTGCCATCCCAACTACTGCAGTTAATACCAAGGGTCATCTTTACAATCAATTGGTACTGTGAGATATATCTGAAGCTGCATGCTTCACTATTTCTTGAAATCACCATCTTTGGTGTACATCCATACCAAAGATGTGTTAAAGTGACAACACTGTTTGTGTAATTTGAACCCAGATGGATTCCAATTCATTTCTATGATTCTTTCACCACCAAGTGACTCCCCTATTACCCTGCACTGAAGGTGTAAGCCTGCTATCTTTGACTAATTGATAATCCCTGCTACAGTTGCTTTTGGTATCTGAAATATGTTCACCAGATGGTGCAAAATGTAAAGTGCCATGGGCAGCTACACCTACCATGGATATTCTGTCTGCTGAAATGATCATGAATAAACATGGTCTGAGTCAAGTTCCAGTTATGTCTGAGCATGTTAAAGGCTGCCAAGGACGTCCAATTGGCCTTCTGGACAGAGAATGTATCAGTCTAACTTGCAGGTTTGTTACTAAATCTCTGGTCTGCTTCTGATGTATCTCTTTTAACTATTACATTGATTATCGTAATGGAAGTTCACTGACTCTTTAATAGGCTAACCAAAGACATATTTGTAAATTAGCCTTATGATCTGCATATGGCCATGTTTTATAGTGGCATATTCATGATATAACCCTTTCTTTCCCATGCTTTGACTTGTGGCAATGGTTTAGACTATTGTATCCTTAAAGTGCAGAGTGGCAGTAGAATGAGAGAATTGCTGCTTTTAAATTTTATATTTAGATGGCAAAATAATCATGTATAATAAAATCAAACTCTTAAAGGAAAGGAGTGGTTAAAGTTGGGGTTTCAAAACTCGTCTTGTATAATAAAACTGTCTAAATTGATTCAGTGGCCTTGTATGTTTCCACTTTCAGTTTCTTATTTGTACTACTGACCTGGTTTTCGTCTTTATTGTGTATATGCCTTTATGGGCTCCTGGCTGGCGGGTGGTTTTTCTATTGTAGAGCTTTAGCTACAAGAGAATCTCTTGAATTTGACACGGTAAAGGCAGTTGTGAAATGAGGATGAAGCCTGCCCTCACACATGATATGAGACGAGAGAGTAATTGACATGACAGATTTTGTCCTAGCCAGGGAAAGGTAATTTGTCTATGTATGGATCAATCTCCTTTCTTAAATAGCCTCATTGGAAGCTAAATCACCCCAGATAAACATTGGGAGCTGAGATTTGATCCCAGCTGTCCTGTGCATGGATGGAACAACTGGAAGGTTTCTTTTGTTTCAAGCAGGGTTAAGAGTAGCTTGCAAAACTGTTCAACAGTTCATAATTGAAAAGGTGGAAAATTTTGCAAGCTGGTGCCACAGACAAACAGGAAAAGAGAATTTGTTCAAATAGGAGTGTTACATGAGGTATCATAGTTTTGTTCGAAAAGTTTTATTCTTATATATTAGCTCTTCATTTGTGATTTCTCTAACTTACACTAGTAGAGGCGGTTATACTGCAATAGTTATATACTTTGTCTTGCATTGGTATAAAGCATTCCATCTAGCACAATTTAGGTTGCTTCTGATATCAGATGATATTAATTTTTTTTAGCCTTTTCGATGGATGACATGATCTTTGTATTTATAGGAAGCAAAACAAAACAAAACAAATTAGTTGTAGACCCGTACGGATGGTAGATCCTCCATTTTGACATTCCTGTTTAAACAAAATGTAGAAGGGTAAGATGCACTTTTCAAAAGTAAACTAGAAATTTGGCCTACGCTTAAAAAATTTTTTATCTAATTTTTTCTAATTAGGTGAAATACCAGCAAATTGTCGCTGGTTAAATTTTTAGTTTTACCATCTTTATTTACCAATTTTTTTAAAAAATTATCTAATTAAAAAAAAAAAAACAAAAGATCAAATCATATAAGAATGACATTACAAAAACATCCAAGTATGTACACAAATATATTTTTAAAAATCATCAAATTTAAAATATAAATGTGTCGTATTTTTAGTATCAAATAAGTTTTACAAAAAAAATTATCTACAAGAATATTTATCAAATATTTTTTAAATTTAAAAATGGGAAAAATAAAAAAATAAATAAAAAAGTAAAAAAGAAAAATTGATATAAGGAGTCACAAATATTAAAAATAAATCTGTAAGAAATATATACTTTTATAATTTTAAATACATTCACAAACTAATTTTTTAAAAAAAGTTAAAAAGGCCCAAAAAAAGAAAAAAAGAAAAAAAGAAAATGATTTATACATAAAAAAGAAAACTTTAAATGACAGTGATAACCCCAAAGAATGGTATTGTTGATCGTGTTGTACTCAAGTGGGTCTCAAAAAAATTGATTTTTAAAAAAATCTTTATTAAATATTTTTTATTTAAAAAGAAAAAAATTAAAAATTAAAAAACGAAAAAATTGATATAAGTGGGTATTATATTTAAAAATATAATTTTTTTAAAAATATATATTTTTTATAATTTAAAATAAATATTTATTAAATATTTTAAAAGTAAAAGGAAAAAATCTAAAAAAAACTAAAAAGCAAAAAAAAAAAAAAAAAAAAGGAGCGTGACACGTCTTAGCCCAGACGGTCAGTACTATGACCCTACATTACCAAAATTTAGTTATTAGATAGTAAAATAGGTTTTATGTTAAAAATATTATATTCAAATTTGTGTTTAATATACTATTTTTTTTATCTAAAAAAGTAGTCCAAAATGATAAATTAAAAAAAATATTAAATTTATATATATTAAACTTATTTATTTCTATTTACTAATGACAGAAAATCCTTCAATTTTTTTATTTAATTATATATTAATCTAATCCTTTAGTTCAAACTTTTTTTTCACCAAAAACTTCTTCTGTCACCTTAAAATCAGTAAATAAAAAAATTTATGAATCCAAAAAAATTGTTACCTTCATAGATATATTTGATTTACCAAAAAAAATTTATAAATATATATAATTTTAGGAATTTTTAATTTTTTAATTATGTTATAAATTATTTTTATTAAAGAATAAAATGATCATTATATAATATAAAAGAGATAAATTAGTTATAGTAAATATTAAACATATGTAAGCAAATAAACTGATTAAAAATATAAGTTTTTTTTTTAAAAAAGAACCAATTAAAAAAGTTAAAAAAAAACTTGTCAACACACAATTGAGATTGCTTTCGATATCTATAATCTATAAAATAAATAAAATTGTTCCCTTAACTTTTGTTGTTTTAATTTGCTCAACACCTCTTTAGTGTTATAAAGAAAATTGAAAGATAAATTTGGGAAGAAAAAAACTAAAACTTCTCCATAAACATTTTCATTTTTTTTTTTTATGATTTCATTTTTGTTGAAATAAATCAATGTTAAAGCTATCCAGAAGCTTCTATAGATGGATGATTATGAAAACCAAAAAGAAAGAAAAGGGAATGGAAAAAAGGGGAAACAACACAAAAGGGACAGAATTATTAACCAACATCGACAAAAACTGCAATCGGTGTTGAATGACTAAATTGAGAGGTAGTTTCTTTTAATTAATTGCATAGGCAATATAAGGGTTTTTATTGTCTTTTTTTGGTTGGATGAAAAGTGATCAAGAATTGAAAGAGATGTCACGTGTGCTTGAGGTTATAAAAGCTTATACAATGGTAGGATCGAAGCACATAGAAGCTTATCTTTGCAAATTGAAATTACATATGTGTTTTCCCTCTTGATATTTGATTCTTAATTTTGTTTTGTCTAATTGTTTGTTTTGGTTTACATGACAACATATTTGGGTATGTGTCTATTTTAGCTTTGGATGATTCAAACCTAAGGCATACACTTACACTATATCTTTTAGGTAGAATAGACTAGGTACATTAATGCATTTTCACTTAGTAAATTTGTAAAGTTAATTGAAATCGGTGATATCAATTCCCTGATTTATAGTATAATATTTAGCTTTCTTTTTCAGTGTGCTTATAATTTTGCAAAGTAAAAAAAAACCCTCATCCGTGGGGAAGCCATTGGAAGGTAAAGGCATGACAACTCATTGGTCTTTGCTTTAGCATGTGACTAGGTAATATAAAACTCATATTGATTTTTGTGACTAGATGTTACTTTATATGTTTAGATTGATTATTTTATCTTTATATAATGATTAAACAACAGATTAGTAGCGTTAAAATGTTTTCGGTAGCACATAAAAGTTAAAAATCAGTATAATAGAAAATTTAGAAAAAAATAAGCCATACTATAATTACTCAAATAATGGTTGGATGATAATTACTAATATGATCATTTTTAAAGCAGATTAAGGAATTGTGTGTGATGATAAACCATTTCTTCTTCCAAAACTTCTAACCAATCCCTATAAGTTTAACACAAACTTATAAAATAATTTTAGATAAGCTATACTGATAATTGAATGAAAGTAGTATTTAAAAAAAATTGCTTTGATTAGTGAGTAAAAGGTGCCAAAAAAAAGCTTAAGCTAAAATTTGGATTTAAATACTACAAGACATGACTCTTTTATATGATGTTATAGAAATGTAAGTAATTGTGTTATGTGCCTGTGAGATTGTGAATTGTACCTCAATTTCATTTTAAAAGTTAATATTTACTGAAGGTTGCTATCGTCTATTCAACTACTGAGTATGTTAAGAAATCAAAATTTTTAGTTATTTTGGCCATTTTTAGTTGTTAAATTTCATGATATTGGGTGTTTAAAGTTTGTAAAATGCTACTTAACTATTATTGTATGGGAGTTGAATCATTCAATACATAGTTTACTTTATAAAAAATTTTAATATAATATCAACTTTTTTTTTTTTTTGGGTGATATTTTCAATGACAATCCTTTGTGCTTTATTGATTCCAGTTTGCTTGTTGATTTGTTACACAAAATGATGGTTGTAAGGTAAAGTTTTCTAAAATTGTTCTTTATAATAATGTACTTTTGTTGGTTCATTCTTTTAATTGAAATTCAATGATTTCTATTGATCTTGGCAAGAGTTTGTTAGTTTGGAAGGAATCATTTATTTTTAATTTAATTTAGAGATATATACTACGGCAATTAAATTTTCATTATCTATAGAAATAGCAACCTTATTGTTTGTCTTTGAAAATGTCAAGGTATTTAAGATTTTAAACAACTTATGATCAAATGCAGTTAAACTTTATAATGTTGTTTAATGAATAATGTTTTTGCTTGTAGATTAATTTTGACATTAAAGCACAGGCTTGAGAAAAAAGTATGGATGAACTTGCTAGATAAAGAGATAAAGAGTAAACAAGAAATAATATTTTATATCTCTTCAATTTCTTTTATTCCCTTATTATTTTTATTTTTGTATAAAATTTTGCACTTTAAGATTTTTTCATAGTTGGTAAATTAATCTATTTTTTAATTTTTGTTGATTATAATTAATTATTTATGTATGATTAGTGAAAATTTATACATTTTTTGCTAATATTTCTTAACAAATTTATGTTCACTTTTTTTCACTTGAAATTTATTAACTCTGACGATTAAATCCCACAGTGAAGCACAAGCCTCCTTTTTAAAGACTAAATTAGCTTTCATTCTTTTTTTGTTTGCAAATGAAAAACCCTAATTGTCTACCATGTTTACCTTTTTTAGCCCACTCCGTTAGTCTTAATTTTTTTTTTGTTTGCAAGAGGAGATTGGGGATTTTTTTTATTAGGCATCCTACTTTCAGCCAAAATTTCTCCAGCTAATATTTAATGAGACTTTGCTCATTTTTTTCCCTATAAATTTTCTTTATAAGGGCCAATTTCTATACCAACCCACCCATGCAAAAACCAGGCCACTAATACCAAGAGTCACAGCATGGTTGCATAATGGATTGGGTCCATATTTGCAATTGCAATAATTAAATCAGCAAATATAATTTGCAATATAATTTATCTATATGCTATAGTGTTGAGAGATAATCTTAAGATGTTTGAATAAAATGTGCCTAAAAAAGGCTATGGTTGGTAGGTATAGAAGGTAAACCTTTTTGCCATAATGTATTTAGCTTTTGTCTATAGCTTAAAATGCTAATCCACATATGTATCAACATTTGAGCTTCTATAAGCTGTATATCTACAAAATTAACTTCTATAATTCTTTTACACACACACACACACACACACACACACATATATATAAAAGCTTTTGTGGGTTTTACTTTCTTTTTATGCTTGATCGATTAGATTGTGAATCATATAATTAGAAAATTACTACTGAAAGCAAGAAGATAAAGATGTTGAGTGATTGGATAGTTTTGCTTGATATGAGAATTTATATTTCTATTATTAATTCTATTTTTTAGATTGTTTTAGCTTGAAGATAATGTTGGATTGTCTTTTTTATTTTGAGGCTTCTATTTTGAGATGAGTTTATTCCATAGATATATATTTTTTTTGTCTTAAAAGTTGATGAAAAAGGTGTTTCTTAAAATGCTTATTTGAATATCATCACATTTTAAGGTTTTAGTTTTTTCTAAGACAAGTAGCGTACACAAAGGGTTGTTGCCATGCTATGATTAATGGTGGAGGTATACAACATTGATGTTTAATTTAAATGCTTATAGTATAGGTTGCTTCCTTGCCTTTAAACCAAATTACTTATTACCAAATGTCTTTAAATTTACTCTTTAAAAAAACTATTGTAATAAAAAGGTGTTACTTTTTTAATGTATCTGACATAGTTCTTTCGATTCTTGAAAATGAAAAGTCTCAGGGCTTATGGTTTACACTGAAAGAAGGTAGCCATTATCGATTGAAGTTCTCCTTTCAAATTGGCAATAACATTATA